AGCAATAAATGGTGTCTGAAAGAATAATAAATACTTTAAATTATAATCATGAGATACGACAACGCGAAGAGTATCCGTTCAATCCGTGTGGATTTTTAGATCATTGAGGGATAGCGGTCTTGTTAGCTCTCACTTTTGAATTATAAAAGGCCAAGAACGAGGCCCTCGGCAGAGGGACGAAGCGCGTCTGGTACGTGTAGCACACAAGCCATTTATTTTACTTTTCTCTTGCTTTTCTACAAATCTAACCGTCCATACTTTTTTATTTATCTACGTTAATAAAATTTTAAATCCTTGTATGACTGACATCTACATTGCGATCCTTTGACAGAAGTGTGATTCCTTAACCTTGCTAGATAAGGTGCGGTATTACCGTAAACACATATTTACAATACTGTACAACTCAGATCCATCAATCTTTCCTTGGTGTGGACACACAACATAACCGGTTGATTAATCCCATGTAACACCTTTGCATATCAGCTCTTGCTTCAGCTCAGTTTCTTCCATGTCGACTTCCGTTGCGCCATCTGTACTCCTTTCCACCTTCACTGCACTTAAATGACCGATATAGTAGAAAAAAGCCTCGTGTGAATGAAGCAGCTGGCAATAGTAGTGCTTGAAATCTCATTCCAGGCATGTACCTAACAGCGCATGGAAGTAAGTAGGTCGACTTTGTAGATATTAAAACCCTCCTTATGCTCGTCACAGTCGATCGCATTCTGCATATGGTAACGGCGATGCCGCCGCTTGAACGCTGCGATGACACCAGCATTCATCGGCTAGATCATGGATGTTGTACGCATTGGAATTAGATGGAACTTGGTGTTAGTTAAAGTAAGGTCATTCGTCATATGCGACGGAGAATTCTTAATCAACCGAACGATATTTTTACTGTTGATCTGATGCAGTGCAATAGTAGAATAAAAGGTTTTCTGATTTCAAATGGCTACGCAACTTCATTTTTTGGTCAAGATTTGCAAGTCATCCCTGAAAGGACACGACCGTCATTCAAGCCTTTGTATTGTTGAGACAATGCAATTCATGAACTTGATCTGATTTTTTGTCAAAGTAGCCGGGCTTCTTGGCTTTCCCGATCAAGAAAGGCTGTAGCTAATCAGAACCATCAGCATTTGCAGTGAGCGGAATTGTAATTTGTGACTGCATAGGATTTTAGTGCATACCCCTGTGTGATTATGTGAAAACAAGCTTCTACAATTATTCCACCTTGTCTTTTGTGTCCTTCCATTTCTTGCTGTGAGATAGTTCTGTCAGGTGTGATGCTGTAGCATAGTCCAGCAAATGTTTTAATATAACGTAAATTTACTGGTTTCATCTATGTTGTAAATACCACACAGCGCGTACTCTGTGATGACCTTCTTTACACCAGGCAAAGCTATAATCATAAGATCCACGTATACCGATCATCTTTCACCGTAGATGTTGACAGCGCGGAGAATGTGACGTTGCTGGAATTTATAAAGCCATTCTTGCGATAAAGTGATGAAGCCGATGAGCGTTCGCAAAGACGATATCCCCGGTGATAATCACCACGCGGTATTGACATTGCAGGAGCCAAAGAGACACAGCTTCTTCCAGTATGAAATGTGTAACTAGTCGCTGTCGCTTAGCATTTAGGCTGCTTGGATCCATATTCTCTAGATCAGGGCACTTTTAAAGATCTTGCTGATTGATGCCTGTGAAAGCGTTTTGACAAGGCCTAACTCCATCGCAGCCCATTTCGCCAGTGCCGTGGGGAATAGATCTGGGTTCATGTCCTTGTCTTTACATATTTGCAGACGTTGTATATTAGTAAGACGGATCCGCGACCATTTGCACTGCTCAGATATCACACCAACAGGCAAGACCCGTTTAAAAATGTATGTGTGGCTTTCCCTTTGTAACAATTGTTATCGCAGACGAAAGAAGCTACAGGGTGAGTCTCATGCCGTTGAGAAGGTAGCAAACTATCCAGGAGCCTGAGACCCTTGTTCTGTTCCAGTTGTGAAAGCCTTGAGGATGGATTTTGGTTGTAGTTAAGGGAAGCGTGTGGGGGGTTGTTTGGAGGCCCATGTCTGTTTTTTGGTCACTCATTTCATTGATTCTCCTTATGTACGATACACAAAAATCAAAAAGCTATAACCTCTGCTAAGTTGCGGTGATTGTCGTCCACCGTATATTTACTTATCGAAGGGAAGACTGTATTTGGGAAGCACGATGTTGGATACGCCAAAATATTCGGTCATTATTTTCTTCATAAGAGGGTTTTTTAGAAGACACACTGCAGAAAGTTGGTCTCAAACTGTCGCGTGTATACAGAAATGACTGTAATCTGCATTACGCGAGCTTTAAGTATGCTCAAAACGTCTTGGTCATGGTCAAAATTGAAGTGCAGCTTTGCTGTGAAAAAAGTGAAAACTTCGTTTCTTATGTATGTATACGAGTTGTTTGTGGCGAGTAATTTTTCAGATCCCCAGCCAGTGTGGCTGGGGATCTGTTTGCCATAGGGTGGTTGTATATCTATAACCTCTTGAAATTGTTAGACTAAAACGTCTATTGTGTACCACCTCAATGTCACTTTCTGTCGACCCAGCATGTTTGTGCCCCAGCATACAGCATTTGAGTTAAAATAGCACGTCTTGTTCCGTCTGGCAGACTTGATATTGCATGAGTTGTGTGTATGTAGATAGGACTCGGCAAGGTGAGGTCAAAGATTACTGATTAATAGTTTTTGCTCTGCCTTTACCTAATCACAACCTTAACTCGGATGGTCTGTGGCTATCTATACATTTTCCGTACTCTTTCCCCTTCACGGGGTAATTACCCGGTAAACAAGCGTTTGAATGATTGATAGAATCCGTGGAGTTACAGATGTATAGAAAATATGACGACATCGCCGGCCTATCAAAAAGTTGGTTCGGTGGAATGGCGCAGGATCAAGTTGTGTACGCCAGGTGGTCAATCAAGCGCATACACTCTTGCGATATTTTATCAGAGCTCACATTCGGCCTCAACTACCATATCGGCAAATAGTTTGTGTAGCAACCGAACAACCCCATCGTCAAGGATCTCCTCGTCCTACTTTTCTATTCCATCTCGAGCTTCTAGACGACGGATTGCACGTCATTGGCGTCGGGCTGTACGAGTGCGGCTGCCACTTGAGCTCGATTTCGCCGGCGCTTTGAGGATACCGACACCCATCCATGAGCGCAGATTACCTTTGAAAACACGTCTGTGTATTACAAGATAAAAAGAAGCACCATTTGCATGCATGTAACGGATTGACCAACCATCATTTACATCTCGCACAACGTGCTCAACACTTGTGCGAGATGTCAATACTGAATGGTTTGTAGTTGGTTCCGCAGGTCTGGACGTCGGCGTCGTTGTAGTCGCCGCCACCGCCGTTGGAGCCTTTGATGAACATAAGGTTTTGGAATGTAGTCAGGAGCGGCGAAGGCGTGTGCTTTGACTTTGTGTATTTCTTCCTGCGCTCTGGGAGGCCAGAACTCAACAGAACTCCGTGGCGCACTCCGTAGCGGACTCCTTGGCTATAGGGCAACTCACCATTCGCAAAATGCTAGACAGAAGCCCTTTTGTCAGACTTAAACATTACTAACGTGTAATTACCGGGTCACCGGGTAATGAGATCGGCTTTACTATTACTCTGCTTGCTCCTTACCCGTTGACCATCCTTCGCCCTTTATCACTGATTTCTGCTGTTTTACCGGGTAACGAAGGGTGTCCCACATTATCTTGGCGAGGCCGCCTATGTGCTTGATAGTTTTTGGTTCATTCGTAAAGCTTGATGGTCAAGCAAATGTCGAAATTGGTACGAGATCGTTACTTGCATCAGCACGCGTACCAAACGTTGGAGTAGCGGTTAAGCCCCACATTATTACAAGCAGATGCATCTCACGCACATGTTAGTGCATACTAGGGACCTCAATATTTGTGCGGAACGCTTCTGAACTTTGGGAAACGTTGCAAAAAGCAGTACACGATCTTCCTCAAAGATCCCCTTCTTCTCGACGGCAAGGAGGAGAAACAAACGACAAACCTTACGCAACGAAGCTTTGAGTGGATCCAGTCGATTGTCTTCCTTGTCTTCCTTTCGCGCTTATTGAAAGCGTCTCTTACCGGTCATATTCGCTCCCCGCGGGTGAGAGAGACGTATCGCAGCCACCTCGTTACAAGCCATCTGAAGTGCTTCCATGTCAAGCTGCCTATTTCTAGCAGCTTTGCAGTCTGGATGTAATGCAACTGGTGACAAGAGGTAGCTCACCTTTCTACTTTTCCAAGACTTCGATAAACCCTTTCGAGGTGGCGACGAGACGCAGCATGGGCATCCATCAGAATCTAGAAGTTGCGTAGCTACTTCTGTCCCACCATGTGGCGTTGTTTGATATGTGCACACCTGCTTTCTTCGGCCTTGCATGGTGCCAACCAATTCCATCAGTTCCCTTCCTTCAACACGTAACACGTTGCGTCACGCTGATACAAACACGCTAGCATCCATATGACACGACAGCATGCACGTGAGAGCCCTTCCCTCCGTCAACGACGCAGCATCACCCGTAGAGCAATAGCATCTTCTTTCAAGGCAGCTGTTTCCTTCTCACTTGCTTGCGCTGTCGCACACATAGCTGTTAAGACGATATTTCTTCGAGTAACGATCGTTTTATGGTGACCACATGGGTGTGTGTAGTATCCATCCACTTCCTGTAGAAGGCAAGTAGAAGCTTTGCGGCCATCGATCGGCAGAGAGGACGAAGTCAAAACCGACCACGGTCATTATTGCCGCCACATTTCTACCGAGGTGAGTGAGCACTGAGGATAAACGAACCGAAACCACTCGTCGTGTGTCGTTCAACCTGACGAATCACTGACTGACTGAGCAACAGACTCACGGATCAACCAAGCGACTGAAGATTGAGTCAGAAGTCAAGTGGCTACGAGTCGCTCACATCTCAACTGCTTGGCATCAACCAATCGTTATCATGACGAACTCGTCCCGTCAGCCGCACGACCGCGTGCTCACTCTCTCGCTTCGTTTACTACAATTCGTCACGTCTGTCGTGGCTCTAGCGCTCGTGGTCAGCAGCTTCCAACCGCAAAAACGGACGTTCCAGACAGACCGAGGCGAGACGCGCGAATTGACCGTCTATTATGGCGGTCCAGCCGTTACTTTTGCCGTGCTCGTGTGCTTCTCCGCGAGTCTCTACTCTTCGGTTCTACTGCTGTTCACCTTTATGCGTGGCACTAAGGTCCCCACGTCCACCCCCTGGAGCTTTGGCATCGACGCCCTCTTGACCATGCTCTTTATGAGCGCTGGCTGTGCCCTCGCTGCTAGTGACTACATGCGGTACTGCAACGTGCTCCACGACGTCGTGCAGTGCGTGTACTTGGCATCAGGTGCCGCCTTGTGCTTTATGGCGTTCGTGAGCTTCCTCCTGAACGTCGCGTGGGGCGCGTGGAGACGCAACTCGTGGATCCCGTCGAGTGACAAGGTCCCACATGATGCCCCAAATACTATCGAGACGGTGCTCCAGTCAGGTGCCCCAAGTGACGTCTTGGTGCTGGGGAATACCGAGCTCGATCGCGAGCGCACGACCACGACCACGTATGTGCAGGACGGTTTTTTTCGACCCATGTGAGGGGAAAGGGACAGAGCGACCCGGTCGATCTAGAGTGTAGATACAGGACTTAGAAGACGATCGTTGACAGGAGGGACGAAAGGACGTGATGAGGAAGGTGGCATGGTTGGTGGTGGTGGTGGTGGCGGGGGGAGGGGTGACATCTGATCGAAACGCGGTTGGACGGTCACAGTTAGACGGTCGAAAGGAGACGGTTAGACGCGGTTTTTTCCAGCTGGATAACGAAAACCGAGCGTTGCTGTCCATTGTTTGTTTGTTTGTTTGTGTTGCTGACGATAAGTCTGAAGGGGGAGGGTCGACTTGACGCAAAAGAAGGAAAGCCTCGACGAGGGGAAGCCGTTTCGTGCGTCTCTAACGAACTGGCAAGTGTGTGAGTGTGTGATTTGTTTTGTTACGTCGGGACATCCCTAGGGCAGCTCTTTTTTTAAGTTTCGTTACGTGTGTACGGGGTTTCGACGGTTCGCGACGGCGAGTGTTAAGTCGACGGGGCCGGCGTCTCTTGGGAGAGTTATGGCAGGAAGGTCGTCATTTTTGGTTTCACGGCTGCTGCAATTCAAGAAACATAGAGGTGGACATGAGAACGTCGAGGTCTCCATTGCTCTCACGTACACATGTCAAGGTGATGATGATAACGGCATTGGTTGGAGTCGCAATCGACAGTACCTTTGGACTTGTCGCGGTGGCGGAAAACGATCCTTTTCCAACGATGAGAGCAGAGACTGAACTTGGTTACGAGGCACGGCGTCTACGGGCGCAGTTGGAAGGGGGAAGTGTATCTACGGGAGCTGATAGTTCTCGACCTTCGTTGCGAGCTCTCGGCGAAGACACGTTGACCGTGCCAGAAGAAAATGAAGGCGGAGATAGCGAAGAGGGTGAAGGTGGCGGTGAAGACGAAGAAGAAGAAAACGAAGGTGGCGGTGGAGACGGTGGAGAAAGCGAACCTTTAGCTGAAGGCAGTGAAGTGAGCAACCACTTTGATGAAGGCAGCAGCGTTGCAGGAAGCAAACCTACCGGTGAAAGCAGTCCTGAAAGTGAAGAGAGCGCAAGTAAACGTGATAGTAGTGGATCAAGCCAACGTACTGGTGATGTCAGTATCGATAGCGAAGGAAACGGTGACGATGCTGGGATTTTCGGCAGCGTCAGTAACGAAGAAGCAGAAAACGATGTCGATAGCGAAGAAAGCGAAGGTGGTGGCGGTGAAAATGACGAAGAAAGCGAAGGTGACGGTGAAAATGGGGGAGAAGGTGAAACTGGAGGAGAAGGCGAACGTAGCGCTGAAGGCAGCGAAGTCTCTCCGTCTATTGTTGAACCTCTGCTGGTTCCTGGCGTGACTTCGGAAGCAGCGGTTGCACACGGAAGTGGCTCGATGGCTCCCATGGAGCTCTCCGAGGGGGATCACGCTGCCATCAGCAGTGAAGCTGACGAAGAAACGAATGAAGAGGAGGTAGAAGATGACGGTGACAGTGAAGACAGCGATAGCGATAGCGACAGTGACAGCGACAGTGACAGTGATAGCGACAGTGATAGCGACAGTGACAGCGACAGCGAAGAAAGCGAAGGTAGCAGTGTAACCGGAGAAGAAAATGAAGGTGGAGATAGCGAAGAGAGTAAAGGTGGCGGTGAAGACGGCGAAGAAAGCGAAAGTGGCAGTGTAACCGGGGAAGAAAACGAAGGTGGAGATAGCGAAGAGAGTAAAGGTGGCGGTGAAGATGGCGAAGAAAGTAAAGGTGGCGGTGACAACGGCGAAGAAAGTGAAGGTGGCGAAGAAAGTGAAACTGGCGAAGAAAGTGAAGGTGGCAGTAAAAACGGTGACGATAGCAGAGGTGGCGGTGGAGGCAGCATCGCAGCAAGCGAACTTACCAGTGAAATCAGTCTTGAAAATGAAGAAAGCGGAAGTACAGGTGATGGTAGTGGATCAAGCGAACGTACCGGTGAAATCACTTTTAAAAGCGAAGGAAGCGGTGACGATACTGGGATCCTCGGTAGCGGCAATGAAGAAGACGCAGAAAACGATGACGATAGCGAAGAAAGCGAAGGAAATGGTGATGAGGGCGAAGAAAGCGAAGGTGGCAGTGAAAACGGCGAAGAAAGCGAAGGCAGCGGTGAAGGCAGTGGAGCAAGCAAACAGTTTGATGAAGGCAGCAGCAACGCAGTGGGCGAACTTATTGGTGAAATCAGCCTTGAAAGTGAAGAAAGCGCAAGTAAAGGTGATGGTAGCGGAGCAAGCGGAATCAGTCTTGAAAGCAAAGGAAGCGGTGACGATACTGGGATCCTCGGCAGCGGCAATGAAGAAAAAGCAGCGAACGGTGACGATAGCGAAGAAAGCGAAGAAAATGGTGATGAAGGCGAAGAAAGCGAAGGTGGCGGTGAAAACGGCGAAGAAAGCAAAAATGGTGTTGAAGGCAGTGAAGCGAATAAACTTCTTGGAGAAGGCATCAGTAGCAGCGAAGAAAGTGCCGGTAACGATGAAGATGACGAGGTCAGCGAGCACGATGGTGAAAGCATCGGCAGCCAACACAGTGGACGCAATGTCAGTAGCATCGGCAGCCAAGAAACCGAATACAATGGTGAAGGCTTCGGCAGTAAAGAAAGCGGATACAACAGCGAAGGCATCAGCAACGGAAGAAGCGATTACACAGGTGAAGGCGTCAGCATCGAAGAAAGCGGACACAGTGTCAGTAACACCGGCGGCCAAAAAAGTGAATACAATGGTGAAGGCACCAGCAACGAAAAAAACGATTACACCGATGAAGGCATCGGCAACGAAGAAGCAGGTACACGTAGTGTTGAACTGATCGGTGGCCAAGATGGCGAACACAACGGTGAAGGAACTAGCAGCCAAAAGAGCGGACACACTGGTACAGGCATCAGCAACAAGAAAAGCGAGCACAATGGTGAAGGCATCAGTAACGAAAACAGCAAGCACAATGGTGAAGGCACCAACGTCCAAGAAATCGGACACAATGGTGAAGGCATCAGTAACGAAGTAAGCGGACACAGGGTCGAAGGCATCAGTAACGAAAACAGCAAGCACAATGGTGAAGGTACCAACGTCCAAGAAAGCGGACATAATGGTGAAGGCATCAGTAACGAAGTAAGCGGACACAAGGGTGAAGGAACTAGCAGCCAAGAAAGCGGACACAGTGTCGAAGACATTAAGGTTGAAAATAGCGGACCCAATGGTGAAGTTATCGGCAGTCAAGTGAACAGACACGATGGTGAAGGCATCAGTAACGAGGAGAGCAATCACAATGAAGAAGGCACTAGCAGCCAAAAGACCGTACACAATGGTGAAGGCACCAGCAACAACAAAGCAAGCACAGGTGATGATAAGTTAAATGACAGCCAAGAAAGCGGACGCAGGATCGGAGGCATCAAGAACGAAAAAAGCGGACTCAATGGTGAAGACACCAGCAACAACAAAGCAAGCACAGGTGATGATAAGTTAAATGACAGCCAAGAAAGCGGACGCAGGATCGGAGGCATCAAGAACGAAAAAAGCGGACTCAATGGTGAAGACACCAGCAACAAAAGGAGCAGTTACAAAGGTGAAGGTGATGGCAACCAAGAGAGCGGACACAATGCCAAAGGCCCCGGTAGCCAAGAAAGCGGATACAACGCTGAACGCATCGGCAGCGAAAGAAGAGGAAGTCGCGCAGAAGACAGCGGCGGCAAAGGATACAAAGGTCGCCATGCAAGCCGACCCAGTGCAGACAGCGAAGGTCACCACGAAGACCAATTCAGCGCAGATAGCGAGCGTCGTAGTCAAGACAGCAAGTCTAGCGTTGACGTGAGCTGCCATATGATGGATAGGTGAGAACCGTCAACGACAGGTAGAGCTAACACGTACTTTGTACACATAGCACGCGCTTGTTCTCGTTAGCCTACTCTCTCATGCGTGCCTGTCCTTACCGTCCTTGCGATGATACCAAGAGCAGCTCATACGTAGTCATGATACTCTCCGGAGTGATCATCCGGAACTGCTCATTCAGACGCAGCAACGCCTGTGCAACCCGCGCAATGTTTCGACGGTCTTCTACACTCACTGGCGTCGCTGCATGCAGTTGCCTCTTGGCTGTCAGCACTTCCACGCGCGTCTCCACGTTCCCTATCGTGTCTTCATTGACCCGATCATCTCCCATTGCAGCCATACTCCTCGAGACCCAGACGTAGCCGTTCGTCCCGAGAATCACGTCAATCCCTAGACCAGGCAAGGTGACCATGTGCTGTTTCATCCGCTTCACCAACGGCGCTGCAACAGCCACGAACTGTCCGTTCTCGAGTTTGCCATAGCGCAAACTGCGCGTGTGTAGACTCAGCGATCCATCGTAGCGGACTTCCTGGATCTCGGCCGAAATGAGGTCGTTTTCAACGAACAGTCCTCGCATCTGCAGCTGATCCGCATACGTCCGACGTCGCTGGTCCCCACCTGGGAGCGTCACGGCACTCAGCAGTAAACTCGCATCTTGCTGACCGTTCACGTCAACTTTCCACCGTTTACTTGCCACGTCCGTGACGCGACCGACCACGAGGTCGCCAACTTCGCCAATGTACCGCGACACGAGCGGCCGCACGGTAATGAGCTGGTTCACTTTCTCGACAACACCTGCCACGCTGGCCACGAGTTCATTCGATGCGCTCAAGTACGTGCCATGGCCGCGGAGGAACGCGGTCGTGTCAGTTGTGATCACTTGGCCCGGCGTGACAATGACCACGTGCGATTCGTCCTCGAGCTCCATCGGCTCGTGCTCCGCCGCCGCCGCCGCCACCAATGACTGCACGCGGATCTCCATGATAATAAAGGAGACTTTCGCTGGCGAAAATGACTGGACAGCAGCGGCCGTCGTTGCTGGTCTATGTACGCAAAAGATACTTTTTGACCCCATCGCGACCCGGAACGAGCGGGGCAAGAGTCTGGAGTTGTCATGCTCTTCTCGCCCGTCTTCTTGGTCAGTTTCTTCCTCGTCTTCGTGCAGCTGCGTCTGCGGGCGCACTTGAGCTTCGCGTCGTGGCTCCTCAATGGCTTGACGTTCTTCTTGCCGCCGGAGGACGCGCTCATTGCGACACTCAATGGCCAGCCGCTTCCAGGCTCGATCAAAGGGACGAAACCATCGACGGGTAGCGGCCAGCCGCTCAGTGCGGCCGACAAATTGGACCAGTTTTACGTCCGTGTGGCCAAGACCGAGCCCGGGGTGTTCAGCCAGACGCTCTTCTTCGAGCTCTACGAGATGCTCGTGGTGCTCGTGTCGTCGGCTTCCATGGGCTATTGGCTCGGCACCATCGGGATGTTTGCAGCTCGATGGATCACGACGATCGAAGAAGCCGACAAGGTGGACCAGAACACTATGGACTTGGCCACATACAGCCTCCTGTCGGCGATGCTCGTGGCCATTTGGTTTCCATTGCAGCTCCACTTTGCCCAAGGCTGGGCAGGCTACGAGGCGCGTTTGGGTCTCGCTGTTGGCTTTATCGGACTCGTCTTTGCTGGCTTTATCATCCTGTCCCCCAAGGACATGCTCGACTTTGACTTGGAGCGAGCCGCTCGTCTTGTTGGCGATCGACTGGCTATTGTACTCCGGGCCGTGGGATTCACGGACGCGGATTTCGTCACCATTGCACCGCTCGTAGAAGTCGCCAAGGCCACGCTGTTTCTTACGTGTGCGTTAGTCGCTGGGGTATTCACGTGCACGACGTTCTTGCCGTCGTTCCGGTTTGCACGGATGTACTCGGAGATGGTCAAGGACAAGCGGCATTCGAGTGGAAAAAAGCTGTTATTACATCTGAACATGTTCTTCCCAGTACTCATCTGCGCGCTGTGGGTGCCGCGGTTTACCAAGAACGTGTTCGTCCCTGCTGCACTTGTCAAGTGCTCTCCTCGTGCACTGACGCGCGACTGTCTGCAGGACGAAGTCTTGTTGGGACTAGATCCTGCAGCTTCCTCTGACGTCTGGAAATGGTACAGTCTCACCGAGTCGCAGTTCCATACCGTCCGAATCTACGTGGTGTTCATAGCGTGTCTAGTGCGCCTGCTGTGCTTCCGAAGCTACGTCCAGCACTTTTTGCTCGAGCCCCGTGAGGTGATGGCGTCTCTCGTTGGTCGCCCTGGCTTGGTCGACGGTGCGCTGCTGCAGAGTAAAGTGCGGATTCAGTTCAACTACGTGCCCATTATCGCACTGCAGTACCTTGCACCGGTGTGCGCCTTGCTGGCATCGGCGCAACTTTTGATGAAGCAAACAGCCACGTCTCTTGGTATTTCCAACAGCGTCCTGTGGCTTTTACAGCGCGTGGCGCCGAGTCTTTCGATCCCTGCTGATCTTACGCCAGAGAGGCTCCAAGCAGCTTCTTTGCATGTACTGCCGGACTCGACAACGCTGCCAAACTTTGGTGGCTTCCGGCTGGGTCATGACCTTACCACGAAGACTGTGACGCCATTTTTGCGTGGCATGAGCCAGTTCCCCGTGCTCACTGCGGAATTCTACGATGCTGAGCTCGGCTTCGTGATCTGGTTCCTGAGCTTTGTCATGTTTGTCGTTAGCTTGGCTGGTCTACTTTATTGGCGTAACGTGGCTGCTCACGGCAGTACCAACAGCGAGCAAACCGCTGCCCGACAGAACAAGCAGACCCCTAAGGCGCTCAAGAACCAGCTGAAGAGTCTCAAGCTCAAGAAAAAATGAGTAGACAGGAAACGCTTGAGCGACGCAAGTCTTCTCAATGCCAGGAATACAGAACCCCCCTCCTTGTTGATGTTCAAGCCGAGCTGATGCTTTTTCTAGTAGCTACTTAGCGCTTCTTCATGTTCTGAAGAAACTCCTTCCAACCACTGGTGGCCATCGTCTCGATCTTATTGTCAACCTCGCGCGTCTGCGTTTCGAGAAACGTCGCCATCGCTTCAAGAAGCGACGAGTCCCCAGCACTCAGGATTCGAACAGCCAGTAGACCAGCGTTCGTCGAGTTGCCAATTGCCACAGTAGCAACAGGCACACCACGGGGCATTTGCACAATGCTTAACAGCGAGTCTTTGCCGTTGAGCGTCGACGTCTTCACGGGGACACCAACGACAGGCAAAGGCGTCAACGCAGCGATCATTCCTGGCAAATGAGCAGCACCACCAGCACCAGCGATAACGACCTTGAGACCGCGCGCAGCAGCGCTTTGGGCATACTCGTACATGCGCAAGGGTGTGCGGTGCGCTGACACAATCGTAAGTTCGTAGGGTACACCGAACTTCTCGAGCATGTCCGCCGCTGCTGCCATAGTAGGGAGGTCCGAGTCAGAGCCCATGACAATACCCACCAGTGGCTTGCGCTCAAGCTTCAGCAGTCCCGAGCTCTTTGCACACTCAGGTGATAGCGCCGTAGCGCGCTTCGTCAGCTCCTCCAGGTTCGGCGCCGTGATGGTCACGTGTCCAAGCTTGCGTCCAGGACGCACGCCTGCCTTTCCATAAAAGTGGGCCGCAGCACCTGGGATGCTCAAACTATTGCGGAGCAGTGCAAAGCTCACGTCTTCCGATGACGTTGCATCGCCAAGAACATTCACCATGAGCGCCGCTGGTACCCGCATCGCACAGCTGCCGAGTGGTAAGCCCGTAACCGCCCGCAGATGCTGTTCAAACTGATCCGTTTCACATGCTTCGATCGTATAATGGCCCGAGTTGTGAGGCCGCGGGGCAATCTCATTCAGCAGCACATCACCTGCCGCCGTGAGAAACAGCTCGACGCCATAAACCCCACGACCTTCCAGCTCTGCCACTGCAGCCAGCGCCATCTCACGCGCCCGCTTCGCTACATCCTCCGAAACCTGTGCTGGAGCCAGCACAGTATCACAAATACTGTCCCGCTGCGTCGTTTCCACAACGGGGTACGCCCGCACCTCCTCATCCGCGCCTTTGACCACCATCACCGCCAGCTCCTTGACAAACGGGACCCACTTCTCCGCATACAACTGGTGCATCTCGTGCTCCCGCTGCAGCCGGTCGTCTCCCCTCCCCTCCTCGTCCTCCTCGTCCTCGTCCTCCTTGGCTTCCACTTGATCCCGCGCCAGCAGCATGGCCCCTAGCTTCTCGAACGCACGCTGCAAGTCCTTCTCCTGCCTCACCACCGCATTGCCGCGTCCGTCGTACGCCAAGCGGCGCGACTTGAGCATGAACGGGTAGCCGAAGGCCGCGCCCACTTGCCGCGCCACGTCGAGCGACGTCACGAGCTCAAACGGCGCCACGTGCACGTCCCGAACCTGCGCAAAGAACTGTTTCTGCTGGTACTTGTCCTGGATCAAGGCGATCGTGGCCGGGGACGGGTGGACGCCGTGGAGCTGGCCCGTCTGCTTGCGGTCTTGTAATTGGGCGAGGTACGGCGCGTTCACGTGCTCGATTTCGACGGTCAAGACATCGCACTTAGCGGCTAAGTGCGCAATGTCCGCCTCCTTCGTGAGGCTGCCGGCGAGCGCTGGGAGCCCCATTTGACCGGCGGGAGACGAGACGCCGAGCGGATCGAGCACGACGACCTGGAGACCGAGACGGTGGGCGGCAGTGGCCATCATGCGGCCGAGCTGGCCGCCGCCTAGAACGCCCACGACGGGCGGTGCGCTTCCGCCCGCGGTGGTGGTGGTGGTGAGGACGGGCATGGTGGGTGATTTGAAGATGGGATCGAAATGGGTTTTATTCGGGTTGACTGGAAGGGGGGAGAGACGAACGACGGCAGTCGAGAGAGGGATGGACCTCGGGTTTTGGGTTGTTTTCTGGGAAGTATGCTGGATGAGGAGAGACGCGGTTGATGACGATTGGGTGGGATAAGTACTGGCAGCGTGCGTGCATAGTGTGTTTTAATGGACGACGAGCGCTTGATCGTACAAATATCGATGTGTTCCTAGGACACGATATCCCGTCGATCGTTCAGCTTTCGTACTTGATTCATTCACAATATGTACGAGGAACGAGTCACTGGCTCGAGGAGTGCACTCCCGTCTTCCTCTATTCACCACAAGCTCAAGACAAAGTCGTCCAAGTTCTTGATGCCAGTGTCACGGCATATAACTCCAGTGAAAATGGCTTGTCGAAAGCGAAATCTTCGGTCGATACGTGCGGACCACATCCACCCAATCTCGACATACTCGGAATTGACACGGAGCTTTCCGATACCATGTCCCTGATGTCGACGCTTGCAGGCAGCACCATAAAGACCGTGGCCCGATGCTCTTCTGACAGCCGGTCTGCTTTATCGGCACCCAACAGCTCTGCGAGGTCGTCATCCACAGTGTTTTTTCCAGCAAGGTCGATCACTTGAAACGCAGGCGCTGCTGTCATCCCAGCTAGCAGGAAGCGCGGAGGCATGTACGTCTTTGCAAACACCAGCGGCACTGAACCAAGCATCCCCATGGTAACGTTGTCGGCTCCATCAAAGTTGCAAAAAGACGTCAGCCAGCTTGCAGCGGTCGTAGAGTTCTCCACTGAAGCTGAACCAATCGAGGACAGTGACAGCAGCAGTGGTACAACGCCTCCTTGATGCAACATGCCAAAGAAGAGCGTTAACACGAAGTTGAACACGATCCACAGCGATATTCCAAGCTTGTGCTCAGTCAGAAAGCAAGACGCGCTCCTGTTGTCCCTCGAGACAGCAAAAATATGCAGCGGAACCATGGCTGGCAGCAGGAATCTTGGCTCCTGATGCGGTGCCAGTGACAAGCATGCTAGCGGAAAGACCACGCATGCAGTCCCGAAAAAAGTGCGATCGGGAAACCGGATACAACACACCAGGAAGATGAAAAACAGTGGTCCAAAAAGCATGGGCACGTTCAAGGCCAAGTGCGTGACTCGCGGATGCACTCCGTGGAGCTCCAAGTTGCCATATTGGGTGTTGTACAGCAGATTGTTTACCGGTGCGACCACAGCATTGCTCGCAACGTTCTTTAGCAGCGACGTGCTGCTTTCATCGCTCAACACTTCCGGCCGGTAGTACAATGTGTCCACGACAACGAAAAGGATCGCCCACATCAAGAAGGCCACAAAGCCTTGCAGGCAGACACCAAGTGTTGATACGAAGCGCTGGACAAGCGACAACGCAAGCACACCCTCTTTCTTCCGCGCAGCTTGAAGTAGCTGCGCATCTTGCTGTCGTACTAGCTCCAGCCCAAGTGGAAAGAAAAACACTGGAAACGTAAACCGTGTGAAAAATCCCACCGCCAACAAACTTCCAAGAAGAAAAGTCTGCACGTGCACGACGTCGCCCAGCACCCGTCGATGCTAATGTACAGAAGGTAAGCACCAGTTAATTTCAACAACTCATGATCAAGCCAGTATGTATCACTCACTGGATTGACAAGAAACAACGTTGCAAAGCACAGCGCGAGTGCCAGCGACTCGAGCGTATTGGAAAAGGGTCGACAGAGAAACACCAGTGTCGGCCACGAGCTTGCAAACAGTAGTAGAGCCTTCTCTTGTTTCTCTCGTCGAACTTCGGCTTTGTGATGGGAGCTCCGTTTACCCACAATCTGGTACAGTATCACGTCAAAAGCAAACGACAGACAGCAGAGCAGCAATCTCGGCGTCACGAGTAACAGCCATCCGGATAACTCGATCCCCAGTAGCTCCAGTATCTTGTATGGTAGTCCTGCAATCAGCGCACTATAACAGTACAAAAACACAACAAAAGGAACATATCCGCAACAATCTGTCAAAACCAGCAGCACGGAGATCATCGTAAAACTGTCGTACGGAATGACAATCGAACGGTTGGGTGTAGGCAGCTCAAACTCCCACGGCACGACCAATTCGCGACGTAAAGCGCTCGGTTTCGGCAAAAAGTGTCTCGCAATGACCTCTTGGCTCTGAAAGAATTCATCAGGATGCACCATACCCAGCAGTACAAAACATCCCAGTACCCTGCACCCCGCTAAAACCGCATACCCCACTCGTCTCCAAATCATCCGACTTTTCAAAACTACATCCGATTTTCGAAACTACATCCGACTATTTTTATGCGTCTCCAAATCTCCACGCGCTCAAAAAAAAAAAGGAGCAAATCATTCCCTCCAACCGCGCTCTCATCATCTAATCTCAGTACTTCACCGTACCCCTTCCTCCTCCCTCCGGGCCCTTTTTTTGCATTACCGCGCTCTATCCTAACTTGCTATCGTCATACCGTCTCCCGCGCATCCGTAACCGTTCGCGCCATTTTCCATCGCCTCTAATTCAAATTCCCTCCCGCCGCGTCCCACGCCGCTCTCCTCGCGTGTGTTTCCATGGCGGCCGCATCTCCCCCGTCCGACGCGCACTACCGCCATGTGCTCTCGCAGATGCAGCGCGAGTTCGCGCGTGCCACGACCGCGTTGGAGAAACAGGTGACGGCATTAACGCGCCATAACGCGCTCTTGACAACCGAGTTACAGCAAGTCAAACAGCAGCACGAACAGCAGCAAGACGACGCCAAACGGACCGACGAGGCGCATCGTCTTGAAGTGACGGCGCTGAAGACGCTACTGCAGCAGGAACAGGAGTACTGGACGCGCTGGGAACGCGCGAGTCGAGAAGACCGGGACCGATGGACGCAGCGCGTGGCTCAAGCCACTGCCGAGACGATGCAGCTGAGCGAGCAGAAGCAGACGCTGCAGCGGGAGGTTCAGGCGCTCCAGAGCCGCGCGGAGACGGCCGAGGCCACGAGCGCGAGCTTTGAGCAGCGCCTCGTGGTCGTCGTCCAGGAGCAGCAGCAGCGCCAGCAGGCGATGGAGTCGCAGTTGACGCAGTACCGGCAGAAGGTGCACGAGAAGCGCGCGCAGATCAAGTACTTGACGGAAGCGCTGGTGCGACTGCAGGAGCGTCGCGAGGGGAGAGACGACGCCACGGAGGTAGATGCAGCTGGTAAGACGAGGACCAAGTTGTTGACGACAAGAACGAGGAGGACGGAGGGAGAGCATGCAGTTGCTAGTGCTAGTGCTACTGCTGGTGCGGCTGGGATGATGCCGTCGGTGGTGTTCAAGCCACGAATGGAGACGGGAAGGGCGGAGATTGGTGTGGAGCGACGGGTGAGGAAACGAGAGTTGACGTTGCCGGAAGAGGTGAAGGTGGCAGCAGCAAATGTGACGACGGCGAGCAGGATGTACAAGAGCAAGCGGATGGGGTCGTCTCGAGCAGGCACGTCGCCGACGTCGTCTTCGCCAGAGATGTCTCCACGATTGGCACGGTCGGCGCCATATAGGCGACCGCCATCGGTGGCGACGACGACACCGACGGCGTTGGATGGGAACAGTTTTAACAGTAGCAATGGCAGTTTGCGGCATATGCGCAGTCTGCGGCATGTGACAGGACGACGGATAAGTAGCAGGAGCAGCAGTGATAGCAGTGACAGCGTGGAGATCAGTCCGCGAACAGATGCAGCACGACATCGAGATGTGAACCCCACGGGAAGGCTGGAGCGCGAGCTAAGTGGTTTACGACGAAAGCTGGACTCGTGCATGGCGGATGCCACTGCACGATGGTAGACAGTCGCGAGCGGTTGACTGGATGGATAGTCGAGTGGTCGATGGGTTTCGCGTTGGATTTGACTGTGCGATACGACAAGTGGCACTCACGCTGCCTGTTATCGCGTGTATCAAATCGTGTCTACGCGATGCTGAAAGCGAGGACTCATTTCTCCCACGCTACGTTGTCGGTACACTTGACAACAAGTCGCGTTGATGCACGCAGCTTTGGCGAAACGCTGCGCTTTACCGGAATCACTTGGAGGGATGCAAATGGCGAAGAGAGGAAGAGAGGAGGACCATTGCTTTCCTTTCCTCTCACGTTGACGCAACGGGGATGATGCCATAGAGACCCATTGCTCTTTGTTGCTTCTATCCCGTTGTTCATCGATCACCGAGCGCTCCTGAGTGTGGTGCAGTCAAGACATAGCAGCAAACTTTCTCGACGACTCGCCAGCGATCCGCAATTGATCGGGGCTCATGACCCCCGTTGATGCTGCAGATCCTGGCGTAGTTTTGGGTGAAGTTGTGCGGCGTGGTGTGCATTTGCAGTGGTTGATGAAGACTCATGACTCTTTTTCAACACTGCGAATGCATACCGCTCGTGCTGTTGCTATGCTTGGTCCCCGCTTTCGGAGCGCTGGATGTCCGTTGTACTCGTCGCTGCCGACTACGTGTCTCTCCTCGTGATACGCCGCGACTTCTGTACAGAGTGGACGACTCAATTTCAGTTTCAACCGACGGCTCTCACGCGAGTAAACTCAGCAGATCCAAGCGCACACGAATAGGTGCATGTAGATAACGTCTTACCAAGACAAAACCAAATGGGGTATTTATTGAACTCAGTAGGGAGACCAAGTGTTTTCCCATCGATTGTGAGCGTCCTTACGTGGCGCGCTCTTGAGCAAAGCTAGCAAGTAGATGGTTCTCAAAGCTGCTGCTAGTCCACCGCATTTCTCGGTGAAGATCCGCTTAGTAATTGACTTGGGGTTTTCCCGTAACTACACAGGACCTATGGAATATGGCGGAAGACTCGGTATTGGTCTGCCTCAACCATAAACGAGTGATTTACTCAAAGAGCAAACCCAGCAATTTTCTCTGCATGTATCGGCTCCCAGGCAATGTCCACAATTTATCAGCTAATGTTTTAGCACAAGCGAGCTGCTACTTCCTGGATGCAACTCTGATTGGTGATGCTGCGACTTCAGTCTATGTACTATCGAACACCATCGTACAACTTGACTCGGCGTTGGCTCGCGCTTATCCTGGCCACCATCTTCGGCCTCGTGCTCGTCAAAGCCGACTACACAACGTACCAAGGGCTGAACTCAGCCGTGGGCATCATTTTCATGACAACACTGGATCAAGGGTACGTGACGTACGTTGCTTGTCTGCCCTTCACCCTGCGGGAGCGAGATGTCTACTACCGCGGTGCGGCGCGCTGACGTACAACACTCTCTGGTACTTCCTCAACATCACATTCGTCGAGATCCCCTACGTCTTTGGCAGCAGTCTCCTCTTCACCATCGTCCTCTTTTTCCCTCTCCTCGGCATCTGGTCCTTCAGCACGGCTGTGCTTTACTGGCTCAACATCTTCCTCTCCGTGCCCAGCAGACGCTCCTGAACCAGCTGCTCGTCTACTTGCTGTCCAGTGGCGAAGTCGTTGCCGCTGTGGGCATCCTCAATAACGTCAGGTTCCAGCTCTTTGCTGGGTTTAATCCGCCTGCTGCTGCCACCCCAGACCGTTACCGATGGCTCTATGACGTAGCGCTATTCCCTCTCGATCCTCGCCTCGCTCGTGTTCGGCATCTGCCCTGAAGATCCGGTGCATGATGAGGTTACGAAGGGGTACACCAACGTGCAATCGGAGCCCTCGTGTTAACCCCAACGGAGTGCACGGCCGTCATGCAGACACTTGTATCTGCTGGTCGGTAGTTCCAGTGCAAACGGGAATGTCGCCTTGTACAGTATGCTCCAGGTCAGTGCTTGTACTGACTGTACCGTTTGTCGTCATTTTGAGCGAAAGGACGATAACAAATGATTGCGGTGCAGTCAGCTACACTAAACGAGTCATGTAAAGGGTTGACATCCAGTGCACTACATCCAGTCAATGGAAGCTCTTCGGTCTCCGCCCCTCTGACCTTCTGTATTTAGTTTAATACAGATAAACTTTAACTACTTAGCTAATCAGCTGCTCGTAAAAACGTTTGACGGCGTTTGCAGTACGGAATAGCAGCATTCAAAGTACGGAATAGCCTCGCCCTGATAAATTGAGACATTACGTCGCTGGACTAGCTACACGCACGGGACATGTAGTGTGTTGTTGTAGGCGCCAAGATTTGCTGGGATAAAATTGGCACATTACGTCGCTGGGCTCGCTCTTAACCGGCACATAACACGTGACAGCTGTTCTGAAGCCTGGTGCAAGAAGAGATCAAATCTCTTCATCCTTGTAAGATGTGTCAGGAACGATGCGGGAACATTCACACAGTGCGGGGAAAGGGAACGATAGCGTTCGTCTCTCTCATTGCACGAATTGCCTGGTAGACGTCGGTACTAGAATGCGCTTGATTTGTTACTGTAAGAAGTAAGAGTTAAAAAAAAAAAAAAATTTTAATAATACCGCAAAAAAAAAGTTTTTGGGCCGCCGGGAGGGGTGATTATTAATTTTTATATAAAAAAAAAAAAAAAAAAAAATCCAAAAACTTAAAAAACATAAAAAAAAAAAAAAAAAAAAAAAAAAAAAAAAAAATTCAAAAAAAAATCAAAAAAAGATTAAAATTATAAAAAAAAAAAAAAAAAAAAAAAAAAAACAAAAAACCCCCAAAAAAAAAAAAAAAAAAAAAAAAAATTTTTTTAATAACCTCTAATAATTCTTAACTAATAAATAAAAAAAAAAAAATTATTTTTATTTTTTCTTTCCCTCTAAACAAAAACAAAAAAAAAGAAAGATAAAGATATATTAAATACCACCAATAAACAAAAAAAAAAAAAAATATTTAAATCTTTTATTTTTGTTGTTTTTTTTTTATTTTTTTTTTTATTAAAAAAAAAAAAAAAAATTATTAAAAAACATTTTTTTTTTTTTTTCTTTAAAAAAAAAACAAAAAAAAAAAACTATTTCACAACAAACAAAAAAAAAAAAATTTAAAAAACAAAAAAAAAAAAAAAAAAATTTTTAGAAATATTTTTTTTTAATTTTTTATTTTTCAATGGAATTTTTTGGGTGAATGTTGTTTGGTAAGGGTTTTTTTGGAGGTGTTTTTGTGAGTAATAAGTATAAAAAAAAAAAAAAAAAAAAAAAAAAAAAAAAAAAAAAAAAATTATAAATAAATAGAATAATAGGGGTTTTTTGGGGGGTTTTGGGGTTTTTTTAATTTTTAATATTTTAAAATATAAAAATTTAAAATTTTAAAAAAAAAAAAAAAAATAAAAAAAAAAAAAAAAAAAAAAAAAAAAAAAAAAAAATTTTTAATATAAATTTTTTAATTTTAAATTATTTAATTAAATATATAATATTAAGTTACGTACTCACTGCTTTGGCCTTCTTTGTAGCAGGAACTGCTGGATTGGCGGCAGCTGACGACGGGCGAACGAAAGATGCTGGTCTGACCTCGTCCACTGATACTGCTGGCGTGGACACGGTATTGCCCGTCGCGGATAAACGTGTGAACTTAATCGACTCGGCTGGAATCAAGCATGTCCAGAATGAGGAGAGGAGCGGGGCTCCTGAAGCTCTTGCGAAACCGATTGCCGAGCAAATGACGTGGGGCGAGAGTATCGCGCGCACAGTAAGGGGTTGGTTCGTCAAGGCTGACAAAGAGCCCACGGAAACGGATCAATACATTGCCGGTATGACAGATGAAGGAGTCATGGTGAAAGGGCGCATCGTCAACATGGATGTGTTTGTGGAATTCCTGGAATCATTCTTCACTGAACCGGCTCGTTACGATTACCGCAAGCTGGTCACGTCTCTGCTAGGGATGGACGACGGTTCATCTCCACGTGTAATGCCTGGTGATTTGGCAACTGCTCTCAACCTACTTCGAGATAGACCCGACATGGAGATCCACGCTATCGGCTTGGAGAAGGCTTTACCGGAGGTGTTATCATCCTCCTTTCAGAACAAGGTTTACTCTCTGTTACTAAAGCACAGGGTGTCCCCAGAAAAGGTTATGGGCTTATTGCTGCGCGTCGTTCGCGCAACTTCATTCGGATCGCATCGAGGGCACACGAAGCAGCTGTCGGAGGAAGCTTCTATTCGCATGCTCGGTCCGCTATACCGGTACATTGAATTGTACCGAGCGAAATACGGCCCCGAGCGCATCTCTGGGACGTCGGACAAAGAACTAATGGCGTACTTTTTCAAGAAGGCTGAGTCACATGGTGTCACGTTCAAGTGGAAGTTAGGTGGGAGAAGAGCTTGAAGGCCTTGATCCAATGAAGGATCGGAGCGTGGCCGGACTCAGAGTTTGGCCAGGACGTTGAGCCGAACGCCGCTCACGCTGGCGCCGGCTCGTAGCTCGTGGGAGCGAAGACAGTGGACGTGATGGCACCGACTGTTCTCTTTCGAGCTTCGTCGAAGTAGCGTTTGATACATTTTGGCTGACTGTAACTTGTGTAAATATGCACTGACGGTAGTCGTTCAGACCTTGCGTACTCAGTCCCCTGTTTTTTTTAGCGAACAGAAGAAGTTTGGATGGTCACTTTATGCTGCACAGGCATCGTGAAGAGCAAGGGTAGCTAGCAGAACGACACCATTTGTAACCGGTAGCTTGACGTGCATGAAAGCAACACTACTTTCCTTCCTCGAACAAAAGCATGAGCGCTGTAAAGAAATCTCGAAGCATGGCAAGCGCTATTCTACTGCATCGTCAACGCCCTAAGGGGCAGTTTGTGTGAAAAGTGCTCATTGAGTCATCAGCACAACTCGTGTGACGTAGAATGCTCATCGCATTTACAGTGTCTATTTGGATCGACCACCGTCTCACTCAACCTGGTTTGGTCAGCAGAAAAAAAACTATAGCAGGAATGGTTCGAGAAAACTGTGGCATGAAGGCACCATTCCTACTATGTCCGACATCGAACTTGCTTTCAGGCACGGCTCAATAAAGTCCACAGCGCTATAAGCAAGTGTACAATAAACAGATTCGTGCCACAAGCTTCCCATGCAAAGGGGTGAGCTTGTTACATGTAATGAACACTCGATACTTGTCAATCAGCATATTACCATGAAGGTCGATAATGTTTACGAATATCTTCATAAGGGGTGATATCCCAAAGCACTCGCCCATTGGCTGATATGGGTCATCACATTAGTCAACTTCAGCGGTCCAATCAGCGATGGACGCGTGCAATAAGTGGTAAGCAAGAGTGCAGCAACCATTTTAAAGGTAAATAAAGTGTAATCAAGTTAGAACGAAGACAATATGATTATGACTAGGACTTGATTATATTTAATACAATTTTACTTTCTACTTCTATTGACCAAGTCGCTCGATAGCTAACCCTCCTCTGCTCGTGCGGTGCGCGTGAAGTGACGCGTGGCACTGATTACACTGTGTCAGCACAAGCCGCCGGTGCCCCGTTACACCTGGTAGCACTATGTAGTACGTCAAAGGACTGCAACCCAACATGAACATGCTGGAAGATGATGGTGACAACATTCATACCTCGCGTGAAAGCTACTACTATTTAAGTGACATCGAATGGAGTGCGGTCGAATGACTCGATTTGAATGTCGGCAAACATGCCGTCTGTGACATGCTGTCCGCACCGGACGGAGATGAGCAGCTTGCCAGCATCGCCAAGCTCATAAAACATGTACTTGACGAGTCACGGGAGAAATTATCCTCGCTTCGCCAGCAAGGTACTCACCAGGCAGAGCTGTTATGAAAACAGGGTGCTCAACGTTTCGAACTGCTGAGACAACAGCAGGCACAAACTGCTGTTCCCTAGGTGACGCACGCGCGCCGACCCGAAACCTTGAAGATTGACAACTCAAAGTGTATAGGAGCCGAGGAAGACTCCCTGCTGAGATGGTCCGTCGAGTTGGACAACGCAATAAGGGTTCGTCAGATCGTCGATGAGCAAATGCAAGTCGCATTTGCTAAGTCGAACCTGGATGGACGTGCTAGACCTTGGGCACTAGGTCTCAAGGTGCACGACCTATACTTGTTTGGGTCATTTCAGGTCCTTAAGGCCTGAATCAGACACACAGTTGAACCACCGTGGGTTGAGTTCAAAGCTTAATCAGAGGTCCTGAAAATCTAGCAAGGTAAGCATGATGTACACTCTCACGCCCAACACATACGGCTCCTTCGGAGTGTAACACGGTCGACCCGGTACCTGAACACACGTTGATTACAGTGTTCACGCAGGGTCTTGCGGATATTCCTTTCAAGACTCACCTGTTCTGCTTGGAACTGGATACGCTGAAAGAAGCGATGTCAGTTGCGGAACAGAAAGACTTAAGCTTCAAAAAGGCTACTGCTGGTTAGGGTTCACATCGTCCCTCAAGACGACAAGAATTCGGAGGTCCAGAACCTTTGTTATGTTAAAAAAAGCCAAAAGCCTCTCTCTACAGTCATTAAGCAATTGCAGAAGTGCAAACGCTGGTAGAAGTTGGGACACTACGCTTACGAGTGTAGCGCCCTACGCCCAGTGTCTCGAAACACTAAGCAAACAGATAGACCATGTGCCAAGAAGGGCAAAGGACACGGGTCCAATATTGTGGCAAAATCGCAACAGCGTAGTGAAGCGCAAAACAGCCATGGCCAGAAGAAACATGGCGCCCTGCTGATTTAGCAACCTCAAGAGAATTTGCAACTGTCGTGATAAAAATTGCTTTAGACTGAAAATTCTGTGTGTCTCTGCACTTGGTGACGAGATACCCCTCATCACCTTAAAGTCGGGATACCATAAGATCTTCCACTTGATGCACTTAATACTGTGGGGTGTCGAACAACTTTGTTCGTCGGTAGTTGCTAGTGGGTGGTAGGCTCAGTTTTGTTTGCGCGATGTTCCTCCGACAAAGATGACGGTGCGCCGAGCAACAGGCGCATAGGTAACTTTAATAAAACGTGTAGTGGGACTTCACTGTACGCTGAAAGATTTGCAGTACAATGATGATTTCAACGTTCTAGATCTGGATGAAAAGTTTAATTATATCCTAGGGTTACCATGACTCGGAATACACGAGTCTAGAATCAGCTGTAAGCATCGAACCGTGAAGATGACTGCCGTTTGTTTATCAGGTGGTCATCTGATGACCGTCTTGGGGCGTCCACAAGCGTGTCGATGTACTTCGAGTATGTGCGATGACTTCATTCGCGTTACGGTCGTTTAAACGACTGCATATGATCACATTGTGACAGCCAATCATACTGTGTTCGGAGCTGCCAGTGGCTGTGCGGATGCACAGGCAGCGCCGGAGGTCGACCACTCGAAGAAGTCGAGTGGATCGGAACATGGGCTTATGCCTATCAGGCGGCATACTAAAAAGAATAAACCAGTTGCCCACACTGGGCAACACGATGATCCTAGATAAGCTGAAGAGTCGATCGTAGAGAACCTAGCTGTCGTAGCACTACCAAAGGTAGAAGTCGTCGAAATAATTAGTCCTTATGTTATTGAGGAATGAACTTCGTAAGCAGTTATTATTAGGGTAATAAGACCTCACCAACCTGATGGAATAATTCACCAGAAGCCTGTGGAAAAGGGTTCCCAGGAAGAAGCCGATACATTGATTATCTTAGTTAATGACGGGTCAAGTATAGGAGCTTATACACTTAACCCGATCGCCTATGCTAAGCAGATCTGTGTAATCGTCTGGACGACGAGTACGTGAAAGACATCCAGTAGGCAGTATATTCACCGAGAACGAACGGTCTCTCAGCAGCTCATCGATGGGCGAAGGAGTCCTCGGTAAGAAAAATCGGACTGAGCGATAAACGCATCAATCTTGGGAGCCTTTATAGGCAAATTCTTTGTACAAGGATTTGATCAAATTCCAGGACGTGTTCCCTGAATCCGTGCCATGCGAGCTGCCTAAGGCCAAAGGCACTCGACATTAGATCGAGTTCAAACCGGGCTCAAAGTATCGTGTCATGAAGCAGTTGCCGCTGCCTCGTGATGTAATACTAGTGATCATCAAGTTCTTTACTGATAGCTTTACAGCAAGCTACGTGAGAGGACCAATTTCATCATATGTCTCTACAGTTTTATGTGTGCTCTAGGCCACAGGAGAATGGCCAATAGTTCATGCATTCAACAAGTTGATTGCTGCAACGGTACTGGCTCAGAAGCCGATTTCTAGGAAGGACGTCTACATGGATGGTATGGTATAGAGCACTACCTTTTCGTCCATGGATCGGATCAAAAAATTCTTTCAAATCTTCATCCAAGACGGAATTTCCCATTCACATCAGTAAGTACCCCCGGCGGTATGCTCTGGGACTGGATAGTTGTGTCGCAAGTTTTCAGGAGCGCCCCTGCCACATTCAACAGATGCCTTTATCTGATGATACCAGTGCAAGACTTTGCAAAGATTTACTTAAACGATATTTTCATCCATATCCGGGTTATGGACGACAAGGTGGACGCAGAATCTAATCGAACATTGGTTCGTCAGGCTCTTAAACTTATGCGTAAGCAGAAGTTGTATGCCAACCTTAAGAGGAGTATTCGTACTGCTAGCGAAACGTTACTTTTGAGTGCATCGTGGGTAACACGGCATCAGAACTGATATAAAGCGATTACCGTCTGTTCCGTGCTAGGAGACGTCAAGGGACTAAGAATTAAAAATTCTTTTTAAAAAAAATAAAAAAATTTTTTTGGCCGAGCGGCCTACTTACAAAGTATTCGTGCAACAACGCTGAGATGACCGTTCATCTCTCTCGTCTTTTGCAAAAAAACGAGAAATGGTCATGAAAAGCTGATTACCAGCGTTCCTTTGAAGGTATCAAGCAGAGATTGATGCAATCGCCCATCTTTTCGATTGCAGATCAGGACAGACCATTAAACGTGGTCGGTGACACAAGCAATTTTTTTGTAAATGGCAGCGCGTTAATTTAGTATGATACAGACGGCGCGGAGCGCGTCGTCTGCTATTCGTCACTCAGCTAAGCTTTAAAACTTTGTACATTACAAGAAACAACTAGCCATGAAATATGCACTGGCGAATTTTTGCGTCTATCTCCTAGGAGGTAGGCTGTTTGGAGTCGTACAGACCATGCTTCATTACGCACGGCCGTAAACAGACCACACCTCTCGCAAAGGATGGCAAAGCGAATGTTTTTCATCACAAAGTAAAACTTCTTCGTGTAATGTAAGCCAATAATACTTATTATTCTTGCTGATGCGTTGTCATGACAACCCAATTTTGAGTCGGCTGAGTAAATTAACGATGGGATCAGTCCTACCGTTGTAACACTAGTTGCTTGTTTTACGTTATTAAAATGGTTTGCAACTAAAGAAAGGCCTGCGCAGAAGAAAAGGCTCTTTTTGCGACTTATGGATCATCTGATAACTCCATCTCGTAGTTCTCAAGAGTTTTTTTGCCTCGAATCAATAATCTGCGGGTCAAAACACAAAACACAACGGGTTGCTGTACTACATAGTTTTTGCCGGCACACACATCTTGTTGTCGTCCCCATTTACAACAGTTTGCGCCTGCGCACCTTGTATGAGTGTCATGATTCATTAACCAGTGGGCATCGTGGACGTGAGAAGACTCATCTCACGTTAATCCGAGACTTTTACTGGCCCCGCTAGTATCAGTTTTTGCGCAAGAAAGTTTGTGCTTGCAAGGTTAGCCAAAGTACGAAGCCCAGTCCATCACCCGTGCACCACTACAGCCTCTAACAATCCCGGCATTGTGCTGACAGTCCATTTCGATTAAAATTCGTCTTCGGTTTCCCTCGAGACGTACACAAGAATAATGGTATTATAAAGTTTGCTGATCATTTTAGCAAGATGGTACATCTTACTGCCGTTCGGGAGTCAATTTTAGCACAGGCTGTGCCCGTGTCTTCATTGACACGGTATTCAGACTTCATGGTCTTCCACGTAACCTATTCTCGGATAGATACCATTGATTAAAGACGGAGTTTTGGCAATCCGTGTTCTGATCCCTCTGAAACACGTCTAACTGTGTCAACTTTTGACCGTTCCGAGCCATATGGTAAGACAACGCGTCAATCGCGTCCTAAAAGGGATACTTTGAAATACGTTCAATCTTTCACAGATTAGAGCTGCCTTTTGCGGATCGCGAAGTTTGCCATGAACAACTCCGTGCATGCGTCGACAACGTATACACCATTCTTCGTGAATGGCGTACACCATCCACGCCTACCCACCCATTAAGAGTGTGACTAAGAGTTAAAAGGGGAAAGGATTCGCTTGAGCAAATACTATTCTGGCTCTTGCTCAATCATGTGTCGAAGTAATTGACGACGCGAACGTTGCATATGTAGATTAATTTGACATCGAAGAGGATAACATCAGTAATAGATCCGACACAACTGCTGACCCAGACGAGGACGATGATGCTGGTATATTCATCATCGCTAATGAATATTTCAGCGAGGATGATGACACCCTCGCTGAAGAAGAGATTCAGCTCTTAGCAGTACGCACCAAGCGCACTGATACAAACACAACAAAGTCAGCAGAGAACTTTCTATTGACTCAAGAAGCAGCGATCCGTTTTGTGCAAGACACCATTGCTAACGCGGTGGAATGGCAGAAACGGAACGCTAATCGACATAGAAATCAAACGTTCTTCTATTTTAATGTCGGAGACTTAGTTCTACTGTCTACGGTAAATCTACCCAAGCACGTAGTCATCAATGTGGGTATTAGTAAAGTACAACCCAAGCACATTAGCCCGTTTCGTGAACTAAATTGCAAAAAACAGGCAATGCGCACACGATCTAGTTGCTTCGCAAAATGCGCACGCATCCTACGTTTAAATTCGGCCGTATCCGCCCGTACTATCAGCACGACTTCTCTTCCTCGAGTGAATGCACCCGCCACGTTCAAGAATCTCCAAGAGATTCTTGTTGTCCCAAGCCATTTTCTTAATCTGGCTCTGTAGTGCCATACTTTGACGACTAATGTCAGACGCTCCGTCGCAAAAGTTTTAGTCTATGCTAGCTCTCCAATTAGTGGAACGCGAATCCTTCTCGATCATCAGACCAATGAAAGCAAAGGCGTTGCATTCGCAAATACAAAGAGAGACGCTCCTGCCTCTCTTGATCAGTGCGATCGCACAGATCACGTAAACGTTTCTGAACACAATCTAGCTCCGTCTGCGACTTAAACAAATTGATCGAAATTGATCTAAATTGATCTTTCCGCCCCCACTGCAGCCGTTGGTAAAGTCGATAGGTTATAAACGCTTTCATGTGTAGTTCATCTCAAAATACCGTGTCTTGAAGGGGCAGTAACCGAGTTATCTTGTTCGCTGGCGCGGATATCCGCTGTCGCACGAGATCCGGTAGCCTCGTGCCCAGCTGATGGTTGACGTTGAGAGTCTCGTCCACCAGTACGACGAGACACATCCGACGTGTAACGGGGCACCGTGAAGCTTGTACCGGTGACAGTACAAGCTACTTATTCTGATGACAGAATAAGGCGGTGCCTCGTAACTTCACTTACACTCGTACGTGCAGAGGAAGACGGTAAGGAGAAGCGAGCAATTGGTTAAAGTAAAAAGTAGAACTGTATTTAGTATAGTTAATGTCTGCAATAAATCACTATTTATCTTCATCTAACTATGTCTAAATACAAATGTGTAAATCAGTTATCTGCTCACCACTCATTGCGTGCGTCTGTCGTGGCGCGTCTTCGTTGGTTGATATAATGGCCTATATCAACCAATTAGGAACTACTCGTAAGTGCTACAGAATATTTGTCCTTATGACAATATTCTGAGAATATAACTCTTATAGTTATATTCTATTAACAATTTCTTATAAATTGTTATGTAACGATTCACCCCGTTACATCACCCCCCCTTAACCATCAGTCACTTTAGTGACTGATTGACTAAATGGATACTCGTCCCAAATCGTTTGCACTTGTTGGTCCGAGTCCACTTTCCAACATCTCATCACATGGTTAACAAGCCCATGCGATGCGCGAGCAAGGCCGCCGAGAGCGCGTCCGCACGTCTCTGTGCGGACGCCGAAGCAGAAACCACAGCAACTGATGTCTCATCGGTTGCTGAAGCGACTCAGCCTGTGTCACTTGGTGATGCAGGCGCTGGTGATGAAGACACTCATGTCTTCACAGAGTATGAACTCGGTGTCTCGTACTCTCCTGATACGGAAGACGGATCCGTATCGACGGCGATCGAATCCAAGCCGCCTGTCAAGCGTGGCATGGATGATGCTATGCGTCGTAGCATCTTTGGTTCATCTGATGAGTCAGATGAACCATCGCCGAAGCGAAGGCGCTCGAGGTCGCGAGACTCGGGCGCTAACAGTGGTGTCGGTTCTCCTATGGACACAACTTCGCAACGAGGTACCAGTCCTTCTGTCGGCACGTCACAGGAAGAGCGGGACCGCAATGTCTTGCGTCTCGCTCCCGAGAAGAAGGCATGGATGCCTCCCAAATCTGTCATGGATCACTTGTCGGCGACGACGAGTGATCGTTATCGAACACGATTGTTCGATTCGTCAAGGATCCATCACCTTGACCCCAGCGCGAAAAACTATCGCGCTGAGAATGAATTCTTCATCGACGCTTTCTTTAGACATCGATGGTACAGTGGGAATCACAAGCGTGATGTTCCCTCACTGCTTCAAGCGTGGAACGCCTACATCCATAACCTTGAGGTGTAGGTCGTGACGTTTGGAACGACAAACTTATCGAAGCTCGTGATCAGTTTGAAAAGCGAACCCCGACAGGTGCACGCTACAAGCTGCATCGTCTGTCAAGGGAGAAGGGATTACCCTGCCTCTCTTGGGGAGACTCGTGCCCATGTTGTGTGAACAACTCTGCACGAGCACCTAAGGAGGCTTACCTCCTTACTAGCTCGTGGTGGCGCGTACGTATCTCTACTGAGATGTACGAAGGGATTGACAACCTGAAATCCCTTTACGACCGTGCCGGGAAGACTTTCTCCGGCGGTCCTTCTGCGGCACAGGATGTGTCGCGTCGTACTGCTCAACCAGACCCAGTACGTCAATCATCAGCTGGGAGCGGGGCTCCCAAGTATCCCAGGACGGGGGATAGCCGCGCCACCGGACGAGATAACTCGTCCGACGTCCGTTCACGTCGCGGTGCTTCAACAGCTGCTCAACTAGATAGCGCTGGCCACCACGAGAGTCCTCTAATGGAGGTGGAGGAGGAGGAAAGACGCTCTCCACACGATCATGGGGATCCGTGTGTTCCCGAGAGCTTCTTTGATCGCGTAACGCAAGGGTTACGCGACGATCTCGAACATGAGCGGGACAGGCGTCTCCAAATGGCGGACACTGTCTCGAAGCATCGAGCTGAGTTTTCCTTTGCTCAGCTTGAGAACGAGAGATCTCTGACATCTCTTCGTGACGAGCTAAGGGTAGCTCGTGGGATTGTTGATCGGTCTCGGGATCAGATAGCTGCTCTTCAGACCCTTGTTGATGCCCACCATCGGGAGCACAAGGCTCTCTGAGAGATGCTTGAGCGCAAGGGCGTTCTTCATCGGAAGAAGCAGCGTACTGATGGTACGGCTTAAGCCGACCAACGTAAAACGTGGGATGCGTTCGCATCTTACGTGGCAGTTCGATCGTGTATGCGTTGCCTAGGCGGTGCAATACACTAAATGGGCCGATGTACTTGGGTAGTAGTTTACTGCTACCCAAGTTAGTCACTACATGCTTTGGTAGATTAACCGTAGACAGTAGGACTAAGTCACCTTTATTAAATAAAAGAGTGTTTGCTCTTCCATTCTTGTCAGCGTTTTGCTTTTGCTTATCCACCGCTTCGGCGATGGAGTCTTGCACAAAACGGACTACCGTTTCACGAGCCAATATGAACTCATCTGATGACTCGTTAGCTACAGTGCGCTGTGAGCGCACTGCAGCAACATCAACCTTTTCTTCAGTGAGGGCTTCCGCACTCTCACTGGGATCATCTTCTTCAGTGAGGGCTTCCGCACTCTCACTGGCATCATCTTCTTCGATATCGATGTCGGCATCAAACGCAATGACTTCTTCGTCAGAGCGTGATGAGCGTGAACCAAATCGGTTTTTGCTCGCGCGAGTCCCTCCCCCCTTAAACCAGAGTTACACTCTAGTAAGGTGGGGACACGCGGATGGCGCAAGCCATTCACGTAAAACGGTGTATGTGTCGTGGACGCATGCACCGAGTTGTTGATGGCAAGCTCTACCATTGGCAAAAACTCACTCCAACTCTTAAAGGAGTGTACGTATCCTCGAAGTATCTTTTCAAGGACACGATTGGCACGTTCCGTCTGACCATCTGACTCTGGATTATCAGATGTCGACATCTTCAAGCGCGTTCCGAGTGATTTGAACACGGAACGCCATAAATCAGCAGTGAAGCGTGGATCTCTGTCTGATACGAGTTCACTGGGCAACCCATGAAGTCGGAAGGTGGTGTCAATAAAGACACAAGCACAGCCACTTGCCGTGATTGACTCTGGTACAGCCACTAGGTGTACCATTTTGCTGAATCTGTCAACAAATACAAGAATACCCGTATTCCCGCGTGCGTCTTTGGGTAACCCGAAGACGAAATCCATTGAGATGGATTCCCAGCACTCAGCCGGAACCGGTAGAGGCTGTGAAGGTGCACGCAGTGAAGGACTTGACTTCACTCGTTGACAGACTTCGCATGCGCGAACATACTTTCGCACAAACTGATACTGGCGGGGCCAGTAAAAGTCTCGACTCACCGTGAGATATGTTTTCTCCCGGCCACGATGTCCTCCTATAGGAGCATCGTGATACTCGAACATGATCCGCAAACGCAGATCAGTATCATTTGGAATGACAACACGTGGTGTGTCACCAGAAACGGCTGTATAATACAGTAAACCGTTACGAGTAGTGTATCGATCTGATGCAGATCGATACGCAGACGATAATCGTTTCAACGATTCTCGAGATGGTTGGGAGAGATGTGTCAACAACTTCACAATCTCACCATCTTGGGCGTATGCCCGCCTTACATCATCATACAACGTTGTAGATGGGACTGAGGACGTCATAACCGCAACAGTGACTGTCTCACTGTTGGGTTTCGCGACTGTTTCAAAGTCGGGACGACGTGAGAGTGCATCAGCGACGACATTAAGTCGTCCTGGTTTGTACTCTACCGTAAAGTTGTATTCTGCAAAGAATGACAACCACCGCGCCATTCGTTGTGAAAGGTGCGGGCTGTTCACTGCCGTGCGTAATGACGCATGGTCAGTGTAAACAACGAAGGGTCTATCTCCTAATAGATAGACTCTGAACTTCGCGAGTGCATACTTCATGGCAAGGAGTTCCTTGTCATGCACTGGATAGTTCCGCTCAGCTGGTTGTAGCTGACGCGACTGATAGCAGACGACGCGTTCAACGCCTTCAAGATCGTGCTGCATTAATGCACAGCCTATTGCGAAATCGCTGGCACCACAGACCACATGAAATGGCCTGTCCTGATCGGCTATTGCTAGGACTGGGGATTGTATCAAGCTCTGCTTGATACCATCAAAGGAGCGCTGACATTCAGCGTTCCATAACCACCTCTCGTTCTTTTTTCAACAAACGAGAGAGGTGCACATTCATCTCGGCGTAATTGCGTGAATACTTATGCAAATACGCCGCTAGCCCAAGGAATTTTCGAAGACCTTTGACATCAACCGGCACAGGCCAGTCGGTGATCGCCTTGATCTTTTCGGGATCAGGACGTACACCGTTCTTACCAACGATGCACCCAAGAAGTGGTATTTCGCTTGCTGCAAATATACACTTCTTGAGGTTTGCATACAATTGATGCTTTCGCATGATTGTAAGAACCTGTCGGACGTGGTACCTGTGAGCCTCAACATCCGGCTTTCCATCCATAGCCCGACTTTGCATGAATACGTCACCGAAATAACTCGGCGCGAATTCTCGTACTGGTCTCAACAGATGTGATACACATCTGTTGAACGTGGCAGGAGAATTACTAAGCCCTTGTGGCATTACTAGCCATTCCCAGAGCATGCCGCTAGGCGTGCTAACTACGGTATAGGATATATCCCGTTCTCGCATGAGGATTTGATAGAAGCCATCCATCAAATCCATGGACGAAAAGATGGTACTCTTTGACATACCATCAATGATTACGTCCTTCCTTGGCATCGGCGTCTGAGCCGGTACCGTTGCAGCATTCAACTTATTAAATGCATGCACAATCCGCCAACCTCCTGTTACTTTTTGCACACAGAAGGTCGGAGAGCTATGTGGGGAAGTTGATTTCCTCACATGGCCCGCAGCTAAACGATCGGCAAAGAACTTGTCGATCGCAAGTACTTGTTCACGAGGCAGTAGCCACTGCTTCATGACAAAGTACTTCGAGCCTGGTTTAAGCTCGACCTCGTGTCGAATACCAATATCCTTCGGTAATTCGCACGGAACAGTTTCAGGGAATACATCCTTGAATTCAACCAAATCTTCATAGAGAGAATTTGTCTTGAGCTATTCCCACGATTAAGAGTCATATCGCTCAATTCGTGTCTTTTCATCTAGGACGCTCTCGTCCATAGATGAACTACTGAGAACTCTCTCGTTCTCAGTAAACACTGTTGCTGACCTTATGTCGGATACACACTCGTCTTCAGCGACGAGTACGCAGATCTGCTTGACTTTGCCTCTACGCAGATCACGCAAGAACTTTTTACGTTCGAGCGTTGGCAACTGAGTGATCTCCGAATTCATGACTTCGGAGGCGCAATCAGATCCAGTGTATAAGCGCCTACACTTGATCCGTCATTGGCTAGGACATTCAACGTCTCTGTCATTTCCTTGGACTTATCCCCTCAGGCTTCGAAGGACTTATTCCTTCGGCTTCCCGGGGACTTATTTCCTCGGGTTTCGGGGAGCTTATTTCCACCGTATTTGTAATCTTGGGACTTATTCCCTTTACTTCCTCTAGCTGGGGTTGTGCAACCACAGCGAGATCCTCTATGAAAGACTCTCCAGTCGATCTAGGATTATCGTTTTGCTTAACCTGAGCGATCGATTGTTTCTCTTCTGGATGTTCCCCGCTAGGGATACATCTTTGTCCCAGTCCACCCGACTTATTCGAGTGGTGGACCTTCGGCGCAGCCTGTGTTTCCTCACAGCCGCCGGAACTTTGCTCCGAAGTGTAACCGTTTGGTACACTAAGGTTTTGTGCAGTCTTACTAACGACCGTACCACAAGTGAGGCCATCTCACTCAATCGTAGTACATCCACACGATTGTGGACGCTCCAAAACGTTCATCAGATGGCCATCTTATGAATAAGCGGCAGGCATCGTTACTGTTCGATGCTGCCAGTTTACCCGTGGTTCGTACCTTCTGAGCCACGGTATTCCAAGGATGACATCAAATTTGTCATCCAAATCCAATACGATAAAGTCATCGTCATATTGGGTATCTTCTAGCGTATAGTGGATCTTCACTATACGCTTCATGACGGTTACGGATGCGCCTGTCGCAAGACGTACCGTCATCCTCGTAGGAGGTGTGTCACATTCACTGAACTTGAAGTGACCATCTTCTAGTGATTTGCGTCGCACAAAATTGTTGGACGCCCCACAATCGACTAGAGCTCGAAGGGACAACTTATACGTCACTTCGAGTTTCAAGGTAATGAGTGAGACCTCATTACCTAGAGCAGCAAAGCACAACTTTTGTGTGTTGGGAGCAACCTTCATCAAGAGGCCTACAAATTCTCTTGACGTTGCTGGACCAGTAGGGTGCTCCGCACCTACTGATCCTATCCGTTTTTTGACGGTCCATCCCGTTGTTGCGTCTTTGCACCAACAGCGGACCCGCGTCCCTGCCCCTTTCTCATGGGTGGACGGTCACTAAGCCCAGTGTTGCGAGACACTGGACGAGGGGCACTACACTCGTAAGCGTAGTGTCCTGTCTTTTGACATCTGTTGCATTTCTGCAACTTCTTGTAGTCTGTAGAGCGAGCCTTCTCGCTCTCCACATAACAGAGTTCCATCGGCTCTGGACCTCCGCTGTCATATCGTCTCGGTTGACGATATGATGTCGAGCTGGCGCGAGCCTGTCTCAGACTGAAGCCTTCCTGCTCCGCAATGGAAGTGGCTTGTTCTAGTGAATCTAGTTCAAGCCGGAACAGGTGAGTCTTGACGGGACCATCCGCAAGACCCTGCATGAACACCGAAACCAACGTGTGTTCATCCACCGGATTGGAACTTATACAACTCGTGAGATGTCGTATATGTTGGGCGTAAGCGTGCACATCACGCTTACCCTGTTTGAGCTTCAAGAGTTCGGTTCGAGCTCTGAACTCAGCTCTAGGCGGTTCAAACGTTTGTCTGAGCCGCGACTTGAAGACTTCCAACGACCCAAACACATATGGGTCGTGCAACTTGAGCCCCAGTGCCCAAGTCTTGGCACGTCCTGCCAGATTTGACTGGGCAAATGCAACTTGCATATCCCCGTCGTTGATGCGACGCGCCCTTATGGCGTCATCCAATTCGACGAACCATCTCAAGAGGGAGTCCTCTTCGACTCCCCTAAACTTGATGATGTCAATCTTCAAGGTTTCGGGTCGACGCGAGTGCATCGACCCGCCAGCAGCAGCCTGCTGCTGTCTCAACAGTTCAAACTGTTGAGCACCCTGTTCTCTCAACAACTCTGCTTGTTGAGAACCTTGTTGGTGAAGCAAGGCTACTTTCTCGCGTTCTGCGTCAAGTTCATTTTGAATGAACTTGGCGATAGTAGCATGTTGGGCATCTCTATTGAGGGCCTCTAGCATGACGCTAACAGCATGGATGCCCATGGTTGAACCCATTCGTTCAACCGCATCCCATTCGACATCGCTCAAATGGGAGTAGCCGTCACGCGTAGCGTGAAAGCTTTGGTCATCATCCTCATCTAACATATTCATGTTAGATGTGAAAGTGGTCCTTGGACGGACTACGAAGTGCTACCAGGTGTAACGGGGCACCATGGAGCTTGTACTGGTGACAGTACAAGCTACTTATTCTGATGACAGAATAAGGCGGTGCATCGTAACTTCACGTACACTCGTACGTGCAGAGGAAGAAGGTAAGGAGAAGCGAGCAATTGGTTAAAGTAAAAAGTAGAGCTGCATTTAGTATAGTTAATGTCTGCAATAAATCACTATTTATCTTCATCTAACTATGTCTAAATACAAATGTGTAAATCAGTTATCTGCTCACCACTCATTGCGTGCGTCTGTCGTGGCGCGTCTTCGTTGGTTGATATAATGGCCTATATCAACCAATTAGGAACTACTTGTAAGTGCTACAGAATATTTGTCCTTATGACAATATTCTGAGAATATAACTCTTATAGTTATATTCTATTAACAATTTCTTATAAATTGTTATGTAACGATTCACCCCGTTACACGACGACTAATTCGGGCCATCATAGAATACACGGCCATGGTGGTGGTAGAGCGATAGCAGGTAGCAATTGCATCGTGTGTCTCAGAAAAGATGTGCGCCCTACCCCGGGCGAAAAGAGGGAGTACACGTCCCTTTGGTTGCTTTGCGTGTTGTTGAAACAACACGAACATGGTTCACCACACGCGAGGCATGCATTTTCTGCCTCACGAGACAGATGTTGCAACCTGGTTTTTGCAACCGTTGTAGTTCTTTTCTTAAACCTGACATGGGCTGCGTCAAGTTTTCGTAGCCATGTACTACGCATGATGGGCTGCACATTGAGCATGAAGGCGTCCTACGCCTACAACAATGAGCTTTAATCTAGTTTATTGTTGCCGCTATAACAACAAAACTTGATAATAGAATCGAGAAAGACGTCTTTTTCAGCGCGAAAGTTTCTCGCTCTGATGTCGAGGCCGTGCAAAAGCCTTGCATCAAACAACAGTATTCGGTGATGTTGACTTGTATCGCCTGACAGGTCATTCACAAGCCTTTGTAGTAGTTCCAAGGCTTGAGTTCAGGGACTAGAAGCAGCACTTTGCCGTCTAAAGCCTCCTGCTTGGTACCAACGAAAGTCTTGGTACCACTTCAATCGTCACCATGACGTTTCAACACATCACCGCATTCACTAGGAAGCGAATGCGCAGTAGCAGGCGTAGGGGATAGGTCAAAATACTCATCCTCCAAACTAAACAGGCTCTTGTAGTGACCATGATCCTGACTACCCGCTCTAGTCCTACTCATAGGCTCTTAATCGGTCGCCCTTTGAGACTCGGGCGACCTAGGCGTCTCCTACCAGTCGGACCCACCGTCCCCTCCCCCGAATTGATAAATTCCACTTGGTAACCATCATCATTAGTAGCACGTGGTGGCACAAGACGTACCTCTGCAGCAACTGGTGCTGCAGGAAGAGTCAAAGCGGCAGACGATGCTTCGTCTGCCGCTAGAGTCTGGACATCGTCAAGAGCAGCTGCATTAACATGCTCAGCTGCCTTCTCAGCAGCTTCCGCTGCGCATCGCATGGACTTGTTAACCACGCGATGAAGATCCAAAAGTGATTGGATCAGACCAAGACAGCTACTCCTTATCCCTGATGTGGTCTAACGGTGACCACATCAACATGATATTTACTGAGTGACTAGCGTTTAGGGGGGTGATGCAACGGGGTGAGCCTGCTTCATGTAATTAACTGTAATACTTTCCGATTAATATATTGTCATAAAGATTGATAACGCTCGTAAATATTACCATAAGGGGTAATATTCCGAAGCACTCACCGAATGGCGGATATGGTCATCATATCAGCCTGCTCTCGTGGTCCAATCCACGACGGACACGCGCAATGAGTGGTGAGCAAGACTTTAGTATACGCTTTTGCAGATAAAGGAAATGAAGTTAGGAATAAACACAGGTACACGTAATTAGAAATAGAGCACATTCAATAAGTTTTACTATTTACTACTATTAAACGCGTCGTTCGTTCGCTAGCCTTCCTCTGCACGTACAGCGTACGTGAAGTGACGCGCGGCACTACCTACACTGTCGTCAGTGTAGGCGTATTAGTACTAAAGCAGTACGAGTGACCATTGCCTCGTTACGATTATGTTATCGTGGACTAAACTTTGCAGTTGTTTATCGCTACTATTTAATTACAAAAGGTTGTACAGTTTATAAAATAGAGAGGTGCTCTGTTGTTTTGGAATATTTTACAATATGCAACATAGTGTGCTTTGTACTTGGCATTTGTATGGAGATCACACATTTTTCCAACTTCATTCCATCAACATATGTCGGAATGATGTCGAATTAAGATTGCCCTACCTCTATCAGCCCGCTTCGCTGAAACTGCTAAATGAACCACATATTAGCTATAATGATATGACAATCTCCTATTGGTCTATGATCGCATACTGAAAGCAGGTCAATTTTTTAAGTCAGAATAGCGATCATATTCATCCATTCAATCATTGATGTTCTTGGATTGTTCCATGAGTTCTAATATCCAGCTCCACTTCATCTGACACCCCAGTGGGTGTACTATGTTCCATGAGTACGCATGTAAAATGTACTTGTTTTTGCCGTCGCTTGCATCATTTCCCATCAACATCTCCTTCACAAAATGCACTTTTTTGCTACAGACACCAAGCATGTCTTTACGCCCGGACGTTGACACAACAAGCAGCAAGAAAACAGCACATTCATTAAATGCTGGAATTCAAAGCCAGAAGATCACTCGTGGTCACACGCCTCATCTCTTTGACTTCGTCAAAGCTCTCTCAGTTCACATGCATTTGATCTTGCGTTTAGCCGGAGCATGAGTAAACATGATCACTTCCATCTCCACTGCACTTTAAGCATGAAAGCGTCCCATCTTTACAAAGGCCAGGCCAACATCCTTGGCACACTACACAAACATCAGAGCACGGCAGTTTTTCTCCACATATTACACTTGCGACGTTGTTGTCGTTCTCGATACAAAACGTCCTGATCTGTGGGACTAGCGTGCAACAGGACAAACGACACTTCATTCTGTCACGAACATCTTCCCAATAATCGCTACCCTGCAATCGTCTCTAATTCCAACCACTTGGACGAACCGGTTCCTCCAACTCCATCGAGTCGTCGCCTGACTCGAACAAAACCCGTGCGAACGAGTCTTCGCCGCGTTGCGGTCCTTCCCCACGAACAATCGTCCTCCTCGCTGTCGTTTCCTCCTCTTCTTCCTCGTCATCTTCGTTCACCAACTCGTCCTCGTCCATAGCTTCTCCTCCTTCCTCTTCCTCTTCTTCATCCCCCTCTCCATCGGAAGAGCTTGACCTTACAAACGAAGCCTCTCGATCTTGACATAACTCCCCACCCTGAATCCCCTTCGATCGTGCGGCTACTTCTTGCTGTGTAGTGTTTTCGACTCGTTCGCGGTGGAATTTAACGCCAATAGGCACCGGTGCTCGACGATTCACCAGCTCCTGTACCATGTTTTCCAGTGCTTTTTCCTCGCGTTCAAGCTCGTCCAGGTCTTGAGCATACGCTTCTGCTTCTCCTACACGGTATGCACTTCCACTGGCGCCGTAGAGATCGACAATACGCGGCGTCAGCGTCGGGAACATTGCGCTGTTGGACGCCAGTTCCAAGCTGCTGGATGTGGTAGCTAGCGGTAGAATACTGGTATCGATGGACCGTTATTGTATCCTGTGTGCTTGATCGTGTATCCAGCAGCTTGATTTTATGATGAAGAAAAACGCAGACAAAGCTTTGCTAACGCACTTTATTAAAGGACCGCCTCGTATGCATACAATACCAATATTCACCTTACCAGCCACGATGCACGCGTATACGAAATATCGGAAGGTATGACACCACTCACACCTACAGAATAGCCACGTCTTATGCTACCGCGTTCATCACAGTCGATATAACTAGCTGGCTCGTGTTCCGCCGTCCAGAATGTACGCTGACGCTGTAGACCAGCAAGTTTCCGCAATTGGCACAGGCATTTGGGTTACTCCCGAATGAATGAACATGGCCGCACGCATCGCAAGCCATCCCCGTGTACGTGGGCGCAAGCACAGGAAAGCCGTTCACATACTCACGTTGCATACTCAGCGCCTTGTCCAACACCCTCCATAGCGGCTCAGCTAGCGGGCACGCGACTTCGCCGCACAAGAGCTGTCGCGCTGTGATCTTAGGGCCATAACACTTTGCATTCAGTGACTTGCGCGTGCAGATGACACCACCAGAAAGACCAATGCCTCCATAAAGTCCTTTGCTGTGGCTGTACGAGTAGTTCGGCGCAACTCCACCTGGTCCGAGATTCACTGCAGCACTGGCAGCTCGGCCAATCGGGCCCACTGCAATATCAAGCTCTGATCCCAATTGTACTTGACCATTTCGAGTAAAGACCTTGACGGCATTCCTCGAGTTCAAAATGATCACATAATTGACGACTTCACCGCCGGCCATCATGCCAAACCCCAAACCTCCCGAGGATAGAAAACTCGGTGCTGACCATCCTCCAGTCGTGCGTGAGACGACAAATCCCGTCCCAACCTTGCCCGACAACAAGAATCCCAGCTTGTACATGGTGATAAACACCAACCCGTACGCTTCCGCCAGTAGTTCGTGCGGGATCGACTGATCCTTCAGCAGCTTCGGAGACAGGATAGTCTCCACCACTTGCACTGCATTCTTCATCTCTTTCTTCAACTTTGATGTGGCTTTTACGCTCATAATGTGGCCGGTGCCCAGCAAGTGCGAGCGCATCGACTCGAGCACAGCCAGCGAATTCGAACGCTCTCGAAATGCTGCTGCCTCTTCTTCCGGTGTCAGCTGCGAAATCCCTTGGGTGACCGACTGACTTAGCAGCGCATCGTCAGCCGTTTCCGCTCGCGACAGCGTCATTTGCTGCTCTTCTTGGTGCTGTTTCTGTTGCAGAATCAGAGCTTTCGTCGACGGTCTGCGCATGGACAACGGAGAGCACACGACGCTTGGCATGTGCCTGTTGATTCGCTAAAGGTGACGCAAGTCCGCGCAAAGGAGTGGGCGCTGCAGCGAGCGTGGTGTGTAAGACGGCGCAGAATCTCAAGTGACGAGTGCGAGTTGCCAGCGGCTGCGATGCTGTCGGTCGGCCCAGCCTTCAAAAGTCTACTCGCTCTTTTGCTGCTCTTTCTGAGCCTGAGCTTGAGATGTTTGAACACATCACTGTGAGGTGGCCTGGTGGCATAGCGTGGTGTACATCACACGCACGTACTGCAAACAAAAACAAAACGGGCGTAATTTTCATTATGCGTACTTATCGACCATCCCCCCGCATCTGATTCATTCTGCAGCTATTTGCACGGCGCCTTAAAGCCCACGAGCCACATACCGCAACGCAAAGTTTCTTGTTGCTTTATCTGTCTCGTGCTTGTAAATACAGCAACAAACCTCCTGGTCTATCCTTCTCCTGTACTTAGTTGTCTCGTGCACCTTGACAGCGGCTTCGGTACCTTCGACACAGCAGAATGAGGGCAACACTGGGTTAATGGTCTCCGCTGTCGATCGCTTAGCTCCAGTGCGTACGGTGCTCCTCTTCGTTGGCCTTTGTACCCCACTTGACTGTTCCCACGAGCAAAAGTATCGCCGGGATAAGCACTGGACCGTTCTCTTTGATCTTGCGAACCGTCTTGTACGGAATAGTCGTAATGATGCTGCGCACTGGGTGTACTTCATAAGGCGACAAGTGGCGCGAGGTACGGCCGAACTCGGGGCCGAACTTGACCCACATCTTGACAAGGTTTACACTCGGCGGCATTGGTGTCGGCGGATTGTCGTGTTGGCTGTGCTTCTGCTTGTGCCACGAGGAGACGGTCGAGATGGGCGGGATGAGCGGCTGGCGAGAAAAACCTCTTGCTATTTGTAAGGGTCGTGAAAAAACCCGATGCGGAATAATTTCCTAGAGACATAACTGTTACATAAGTGTGTGAAAACTGGTGTGCGACCATTTTTAGCATTCCGGGACGAGAGAGAGACAGCTGTCATGTTTTTCACGAAATTGGGTGAACTATGTATATTTAAGCGCTCTCGCTGCCACATCGAATGGGCTGAGAGCAACAGTCTCTTGTTCATCTCAACAATCCGTGCGCTCGGCTTGGCTAAAACAGAGTAAGCATCGAAAATGTTCGCAGATGCTTGCAACCTTAGTCAACAGATATAACCGTGACGTGCTTTCATCACAATTCGTTGTCGTTCGGTGGTAGGACGAAGCCGCTAAAAGTCTCGATTCCACGCATTTGTACGGACAGAGTCAGTATCGTAAATTGTGCTCGACGGCGGGGGCTTGGTAGGATCGTGGGACACTTGAGCCTTGCACAATTAATATAACTAGCATTACACGTGTTTATTTCCGAAGGCTTGCGACTTGGTGTAATACCGATATCTACCGGTTGCAAGCCTTTATTCAACTACCGGTTTTATCAAAGCGCTGACTGAACACCTCATCTCAATCATCAATTTCCAGCGACAACGACACTCATGGCGTTCATCCGCTCTCTCTTTCTTGTGATACTAGCGCTGACGGCTGTGACTGTGGCGTTGCGTGACCACATCACAGAGAGTGGTGAGCAGGATCAAGACGAGGCCACGCAGGCTCAAGATGAGGCCACGAAGGCTCAAGACGAGGCTACGCAGGCGCTTTCGTCAAGCCTGGATGGTACGACTGGCAGCAGCAGTGACAGCTTGAATGACATGGACGTTGCTGGGCAAGAGACAAGCGGCAGTAATGATCTGAACGGTGATGAGAAGGGAGGATTAGAGCTGGGACAGTCGGAGAGTGGACAGGATGAGTCGGAGAGTGTTGAGAACGAATCGGAGAGTGTGGAGGACGACGACAAGTCGGGGTCTGATTCGGCACCTGAATCAGAGTCTCATTCTACACCTGGACCAGGGTCTAATTCGGCATCCGGACCAGGGTCTAATTCGGCATCTGAACCAGGGTCCGATTCAAGATTTGACTCAGGGTCTGATTCAACATTTGAATCAGGGTCGGAGTCGGCATGTGAATCAGGGTCCGATTCGGCATGTGAATCAGGGTCCGATTCGGCATGTGAATCAGGGTCCGATTCGGCATTTGAATCAGGGTCCGACTCGACATCTGAATCAGGGTCCTTTTCAGCATCTGAACCAGGTTCTTACTCCTCGTATGGCGAAGATGAGGGAGCTGATGTGAAGCAAACGCTGGAAATAGGCGAGAGCGACATAAAAGGGGCGATCGTGGAAGAGAGTGCGGTCGCTACATCGTCAGAAACGGGATCATGTGACGACGAGGAGAGTATCACTAAGAGTGGACCTAGTTCCGGATCGTCCGACGACTCGGTGGTGGTCGGTTCTACTGAATCCACGTCGGGGTCGTCTGATGTCTCCGTGGATGTTGCTGGCAGCGACGAAGAGGATGAGGACGATGAAGAGGAGGAGGACGATGAAAAGGAGGCGGACGATGTAGAGGAGGAGGAGGAGCAGGGAGAAACAGATGGAAGTGACAGTTTCTCCGGCGAAGACAGTCGAAGCGAAGACGATGATGTAGAAAGTGGGAGTTGCTCGGACGAGGAAGATGGGAGTGAGGAGCTCGATGAAAAGCACGACACTGGAGTGATCAGTGATACAATCGACGCAGTGGTCAACGCTACTGAGGATGCTTATGAGCATGTAAAAGATGCCACATTAGACGGGTCCAACAAAACGAAGGACTTTCTAAATGGTGCGCACTTGGCCTCTGGTTCTGGTTCGAGCGCTGAGTCGGTAGACGTGGACGAGTCAAGTGAAGACGACAATTCGCATGAGTCGCACTCTGATGAGGGCGCTGACATTGATGTTGAAGGCAATTCCAGTGGAGTCGGTGATGCGCACCAAGACGTCACAAATGAACCCGTTGAGTCAGATGAACACATCAAGAATGTTACAGAAGACGCTTCTGGCAGTGCGAATAGCGCTGACCATGACACTACGGATGATGTGTACAGTAGTGCAGAGAGCGCGACACAAGATGCAGATGGAGACGAAGTGAGTACGGTCAATGGTACGACATCAGCTTCGTGTTCGGGCTCGCTGGATGGTACGGTGAGCATAGAGCAAGAGCAGCTGAGTGATGAGAGCGTCGCTCTTGCCAGCGAGCGTGCGGAAGAAGACAGCGCTGTGACGTCTGCCTACTTTTCCGAGATCGGTGCAGGTGTTGGCGTATTCGTGGGTGTCATTGCTATGGCATTCGCGTTCGTCGCTCATTCTGGTCGTAACCGTGGTACGAGCAGCACGGCAAACGAAGACGAGGATTCTGTCGCTATGGCTTCCGAAAATAGTGCTGATGAAGATGCGTCAGAGGACGATACGAGTTTGGATAGAGGCGTGCTCGTGAAGGCGGATGCGACTGAAGACGACGACGGTGACGAGGAGGAAGGCAAATTTGAGGGAGCCGTGTAATCTCGAGAACACACGCCTTGCTAACGATAGATGTTTTTGCTACGTTTCATTTTTGCATTGCCGTTGGACTTGCCGTTTTTTCGCCGCTCCCTTACTGTCCGACTCATGTTGTATCATAAACATTGAGCACTGTTTTGTCAGCGTCTCGCTTTTGATATGCATGTGCGGGGACTGATAGACTAGATGATATTTATAGCAGGCTCTGAGGCAGTGAACATTCTATCGATCAGCTAGCAAAATCCAATCGATGTTGTCCACAGTGGCCATGGTACTTACGTAGGACATTGTCCTATTTCCTGCGCTCACCTGTGCGAGGTGACGCAGTGTGGTGCACAGAAACAAAGCAGTGTCTGCCACTCTTCTGTAGCAGCTGGTATCAATACAAGAACGGGAGATGAGACATCCGACCAGAGCTCCGACATATTTCTGTGCATAAACGCGAGTATCCACTTGTCCGAGCGGTGTCCAACAGAGCTCGGTCTCAGCCAACAAAAGGGATAGACGGGCCAGCGCAAGTCCCTCATTGCTACAGTCTCCTCATTGATCAATTCACCTCCTACCACACAAGGGAACCAACGAACGCCCTTCCAATTACAATGCAGCAGAGTAGCGCACTCCACTTCCATCCGGTCACATCGATACTGCTTCTGCTTCTGATGAGCTATCGACCACTACAAGCTGAATCCGCTGACGTTGCTAGTGATACGGTCAAGTCCATCTTTGACTCTGCCGATGGTATTGAGATCGGCGGCAGCGTCCTGGCCATTGCTGCCATCGCAGTCGGTGCGATGATGATCTCCATCGGCTACCGCTTCTTCCGTGCGACGCTCTTTGTTATCGGGTTTGTCTATGGCGGTGTTGGCCTCGCGATTGCTGTTGAACACATTTTCGACGGTGAGTCGTGGGTCGTTACGGCATCCTGGATCGCGTTTGGAGTCGGCGGTCTCATCTGCGGCATTCTTGTCACGGCGCTCTACTCGCTCGGGATCTTTGCTGCTGGTGCCGCTGGCGGTGTAGTACTCGCTATGATGATTCACAACTCTGCTGGCTACAGGATCTACGCGAATCATCCTCAGGTGGTGCTCATCTTGCTGTGTGTCGTCATCGGTCTCCTTGGAGGCGTGCTGGCGATTAAGCTCGAGAAGCCTGTGCTGATTACTGCTACGAGCCTGTTCGGGGCCGCCATCCTCGTGTGGGGCGTCGGCTACTTCGCCGGCGACTTTCCATCGTCGAACGACCTGAAGCACTACGCGACACGGGACATTAATGGAGACTGGATCTACTCGATCCCAGACGCGTGGTGGGTCTACCTCGCTGCTATTCTAATGCTTTTCGTGCTGGGTCTGTTTATCCAGTTCCGTAAGACTGGACACGGGGTCATGCACCACAATTCACACGCCATTAAGCGCCGTTCGGAGAGCCAGCACTACGTGGAGGCGAGTTCGCCACAGCCGCAACACGTGCGCTTTGGCGACCCCGGCAGCCACGTTTAGAGCTGTCGATACCAAGCGCTATGAGTAAAGCGCTGGACGCAAGGTAGGATGTAGTAAGCGAGAGCTGTGGCTTTCGACACCTCGAACTCGAACAGTCTTGTTGTCAACGAACACGATCACAGTTACGGTACTATTTGCAATGAATCTCGATGCTCTGACATTGCCCCTCGGTGGTTGTACACGTCCTCCTCACATTCACGCCATTTTCGAACGCCGTGTCTGCTACAATTGACGAACAAGGCGTAATTGCGTCGATGGTAAGGATTTTTCAAGCTCTTTTAAGACTGAAGAAGGCCGCTAGTACATGTCCGCTACCTGCATAGTACGTCATCCTTCAATATGGCTAGCAACTCATGACGCCGACCTGCATCTCACTCATTGCATACGTCCTCAGATTCCGTGCAGCTTCAGGCTTACCGTTTCAGAGCGTAAGCTTAAGTTTAGAGGACATGCGGTGTGCACTTTGACGTCAATTGGACCACGTTGTAGTGTCGACAAGCACCACCTCTCACGGCGATCCACAACAGCCTTTCGAACGCGCCGCATGTCATATGGTGATATAGTCACCGAACTCAGACCGCATGGCGCTCAGAACAGGCGCACGCAGCACGGAATCGCTCCATACAGCATCGCACAACGACTTTGTTGCCTACTCGAATACGTCACACGCACGTCAATGCTCGTACCAACTTTGCTGCTCCTTGCATCCTGCGTCCGAGCTGCAGACGAATTGGTCCCGGATCCGACTAATGCTACCAACTTGGGTGGGTGCTTCCTTGCAGTAGTAGCGAGTCTCGTTGGTGGTGGGATGCTCGGGTTGGGCAATCGCTTCGTGTCTGAGACTGTCTTCGCCACTGGCTTCGCTCTTGGAGCTGTCAGCACAGCCATGACAACGGACCACTTGCTTGTTGATAAATCCTACCGGAGTCTCGGCGTTTGGGTTGCCTTCATCTTAGGCGGTGCAGCTTGTGGTGGCATGGCCATGTGGGTGCATCCGAAGAGCAGTTTCATCACGGGCATTGCAGGAGGTGTGATAGTTGCAGTGGTCGCGACCAATTCAGCAGCATATTACATCCGTCCAGGTCAGACTCAAGAGCTGTTCACCCTTCTGTGCTTCCTTTTCGCTGTCGTGTTTGCCTCGTTCGCCCTAAAATACGGCAGGCCGGTGGAAAGTGTCGGGATCAATATCTTTGGTGCTGGGATCGTTGTGTGGGGTATCGGCTACTTCATGGGCGACTTTCCATCTCCGGACGAGCTGGAGAAGTACGCGACCCGGAATGCAGACGGTAATCTTGAGTACACGATACCTACTCTATGGTGGGGATACGTCGGAGGCATTGCAATATTGGCGGCCTTGGGCATGTTCGTACAGCATCGGAAGACCGGGCGCCTGGACGTCAGCAATGATTTTTCGGTCTTTGAAACAACCGGCATTGGATCCGCCATTGACGTGGCGCTTCATACTGAAACCGAGAAACAGCGGCTGACGATTCCAGTCATGGATCAGTCCACAAACACTGCATGGGAGTCCGACTTCTTGCCGTCATCCTACTCTAGCGTCGTCCATCAGTCGTTTTGCCGGCTGTACTCGAGAAACACAGAGGCACAAGCGATCAGTAAGATGAGGTCAAATTTCTTCGAAACGAGGGCGTCGGAGACAAAAGGTGCTGTCGATGACTCGAGGGTATGTTTGCAGCCGCCACAAAGCGAGTGGCTTGCGAAAAGTGGAAACCAAAGCGACGGTGAAAGAGGTTTGGAGTAACAAGTGAAGACGAATGCACGCGCAAGGCTGGCAGATAGTTTGACGATCGGAGAGGTTTAAACGTGCGTACGGGAGGAGTTTTGTCCATTCAATAGGTGACTATTAAAAAAAACAGTAAACCGAGTTTATAAATAGTGCTAATAGCATTTATAACCCCAATTAACCACATTTGAAAAACCCGTTTATGAGCACCATTACTCTGTCGAGACAGAAAAATCGTCTTGACAAATTTGTTGTTTTATAAATGGGAGCTGTTAACGAGCACGCACTTTTCGCAAATGAGCACGCAGCTAACGTTTTATGGTGCCCCTGAATTAATCTCCTTGGCTGTGATTGGCTGAGGTCTGGATTTCTCACCACACGCATGCAGCATATTTTGTGGGCAAAGTTCGCACATTCTATTCGACTTTGTGTGACGAGATGCATAATAACCGATGCACCTTGCCACCTGCATCGAAAACTACTCAGATCTATTCAAAACTGCAGCCAGTTCCTCCATTCCCTCTCTTTCGTTGAGCTAAAGAGATCCGCAAGAGGTGGTTAGGGCGCTGTAAGAAGTGCTTGAGGTGCTGTAGATGCAGCGGATGCCGATGATTGTCGGCAAGTCCCTGCATATGGCCTACAGGCTGTCAATTGTGCGGCAACTCCTGCGCGGCCTCAAGGCATTATCAATGTGTTTGAACTGTTTATTCTGCTGTACGTCTATTCTGAAATGCTCTTCTCGCTTTAGCACTAGTCTTCCCTCCTCCGCAAGGACGATGGGTAAAGATGACGAGGATGAGGTTCCCCCCCGATGCCTTATGTAAGCACCGCTATTTCAATCCAATGATTGCCGGTTCGATCCCCCGTACGACCAACCCAATGTCGTACAACAAAGTGTGAGACAAATGTCTCATTGTACCATCCAGGAACCCCGGTACTGTGAGCTCGGTCTGTAGTACATGCATAAAATACCGACATCGAATAGCCGGGGGACCTGGACTGTCTGGTCCTAGAGAATCCGGTAAAAAGTGGGCATCCGGTTGGGGATTTGTAGGCACCGCCGAAGAGGGCAGAGGTTGGTCGTTAGAAATACTACATGCACCCACTGTGTAGTGGAGCTACATAGCTCTTTGTTTAAACGACCTGAGACTGGAAGTCACTTGGTTCTACAGACCAAGGTTTTATTACTCCAAAGATTATATAGTTCTTAGAACTAATCAACAAAAACTCGGAGAGTCTCTAAGCTCGTAGAGCTTCTAGTGCCGGTTCAGAGGACTAAAAAACGACTCTAATAATCATACGCACAATGTGCTCTAGATTATACGCCACAAGCTGGATCTTAGTCGTAATGTTCTACTGACCTCTGGAATCGTCACGTGTCAATCTCAGATCAAAACGAATATGAGCTTTTATTACGTAGTTTTATCTGTAGTAAACCTCATTCAACTGCCTAATACTGAGGTTAGAAATTATCCGCATAGTAATCTGATAAAGATTGATGGATGGCACACCAATCTGTCATCAATGGATGACTGAGATTATCAACCCCATCAAATTTTACAAATTAAACTCGGGATTGCATATCACACGTACAAGGTATGTCCCTTTATAACGATAACTGTCGTGTAATTCCTTTTCACCTTTCCCCATCAGACAGAGGATAACGTCGATCGAATCATTACCTCATCGAGACCATTGGCGAAGAGTGACCTCACAATTTTTTCAACGCTTCATAACTAAGAAAATGTCAACGATTGTTCGGCTTTAAGACCTCCTCGGCATTGAGGACGAGGAACCGAACTATGCCAGTGGTGTTGAGTCCACAATCAGCACACCTGTGCGATACAACACGTCGAAACATGCACCTAATCCGCTCTCTGAATGTAGGGCTGCAAATACGCTGACAGCGCTGCACACTGCACCCGGCAAGGGGTCGGCAATCATCACGGACATACTCGACAAGGACCATGAGCAGGCGCTTTAACAGCAGGAGAGCGCACGAGGTAAATTTGAGATCATGTCGACACTCGAAATTCATACTGACTATGCGTTACACCTCTCAATTTAAAAGAACGTCTACAACAAAATTCCGGTCAGTCTTTGGCATCGTGGACCATCGGTCCGGCAGCCACTACACCGAAAGAGGTTTAAGACGATATGTTATAGCGTGAAAGACACCTGGTGCCGTATGTAGTGACTCCAAATTGATAAAAGGCATTTCTTTTCGACCAACGTCATGTTGTACCAAGTCCACTGATTAGGGTATCCCCATACTCCTGGACATAGGGGAGTTGGCATCAGAGGAAGACAATGTGTCTTTACACGGGATGCGTAAAGCACGGCGCTTAAGCAGAAGCACTTCTTTAAAGAGCAGCGCCAACAAGACTGACGTACGCATCAAGCGATAAGTCCGACACGACTTCGCCAAATTGAGGGCCAAAGGCCAGTTGCGGTCGATGTTCCGCACACGATACGCTGTGGCTGCATCGATAATTGCAAATCCACATCAGGCTTCGGTCGTGGGCCCACCTGATGCTCCCATTATCTCTGAGAAGAGTGAGGGGTTGCAAGTTGACCCTGACTGTGGTGCTTACAACAACCACGGCAATTGGTCAATCTTGCCGAAAAAGTATCTCGCACTCCCAAGGTTCTGAGACCCAGGGACCGACACCACGTCACCAGATACTGGTATTTGCCATGACGATGATGTCGTTTAAGTACCCTCTGCACATGGAACTGGAGGTTACACTGCTAGTCAAGCGAGTTCTGTGGCGGTTGGTGTGTCGGCTGCAGCCTATGAGGCTTCGGTTCAAGAGGTGAATAGTATTAGCAAGACTTTTGGTCCGACACAGCGCACGCTTGACGAGACTCAAAGCTCGATTGCCGAAGTTTTAAACGAGTAAGACACAGATGGAGGTGCAAATTGTACTTCTGATTCGGATGTAGCAGCCTGTGGTAGATCCGACTTTCGCGGCACAAGCGCATCTCAATTAACCTGGAACAAATCCCGATATGGCGTAAGGTGGCCAACATAAACCACGGGGTATGTACGCAATTCGTGCGGTAAGATGAGCGTAAATTCAATACTCTTCTTAAACACGACCGTGAAATGGGCCAATAAAGCGAGGACGCAGCTTAATCCGAGACACAGCAGACGCCACATTTGTAAATAGGTTTTTAGCGTTTAGTTAGACTTCGGTAACAGCCTCATAACTTGCAATACACTTCTGCCTTCAGCATTCGCTTGTTCCTTCTGTTTAAACTGGCTTTCAGCCATTGCGATACGCACATATTGTAAAACATTTAATCGTGGTGTGAGGAACGCGCTAACCTGTTTTTGACCACTAGAAGGGCTGACATCAGCAAGCCTATTAGACATCTCTCCCCAACCTATCCCTGAACCACGTAGTGGTAGCTTAAACGTAACGCGTGGTTGTTTGAGGCCGTTCACATAGAACAAAGTATCGCCAGTAGAGGCATGGACATAATTGATCGTGGCGAGCAAAAAAGGGGGTTCATTGATCTCCAACGCTGTGTCTCTGGTACAGCCACAAGGTGTACCATTTTGCTGAATCTGTCAACAAATACGCGAATACCCGTATTCCCGCGTGCGTCTTTGGGTAACCCGAAGACGAAATCCATTGAGATGGATTCCCAGCACTCAGCCGGAACCGGTAGAGGCTGTAAAGGTGCACGCAGTGAAGGACTTGACTTCACTCGTTGACAGACTTCGCATGCGCGAACATACTTTCGCACAAACTGATACTGGCGGGGCCAGTAGAAGTCTCGACTCACCGTGAGATAGGTTTTCTCTCGGCCACGATGTCCTCCTATAGGAGCATCGTGATACTCGAACATGATCCGCAAACGCAGATCAGTATCATCTGGAATGACAACACGTGGTGTGTCACCAAAAACGGCTGTATAATGCAGTAAACCGTTACGGGTAGTGTATCGATCTGATGCAGATCGATACGCAGACGACAATCGTTTCAACGATTCTCGAGATGGTTGGGAGAGATGTGTCAACAACTTCATAATCTCACCATCTTGGGCGTATGCCCGCCTCACATCATCATACAACGTTGTAGATGGGACTGAGGACGTCATAACCGCAACAGTGACTGTCTCACTGTTGGGTTTCGCGACTGTTTCAAAGTCGGGACGACGTGAGAGTGCATCAGCGACGACATTAAGTCGTCCTGGTTTGTACTCGACCGTAAAGTTGTATTCCGCAAAGAATGACAACCACCGCGCCATTCGTTGTGAAAGGTGCGGGCTGTTCACTGCCGTGCGTAATGACGCATGGTCAGTGTAAACAACGAAGGGTCTATCTCCTAATAGATAGACTCTGAACTTCGCGAGTGCATACTTCATGGCAAGGAGTTCCTTGTCATGCACTGGATAGTTCCGCTCAGCTGGTTGCAGCTGACGCGACTGATAGCAGACGACGCGTTCAACGCCTTCAAGATCGTACTGCATTAATGCACAGCCTATTGCGAAATCGCTGGCATCACAGACCACATGAAATGGCCTGTCCTGATCGGCTATTGCTAGGACTGGGGATTGTATCAAGCTCTGCTTGATACCCTCAAAGGAGCGCTGACATTCAGCGTTCCATAACCACCTCTCGTTCCTTTTCAACAAACGAGAGAGGTGCACAGTCATCTCGGCGTAATTGCGTGAATACTTATGCAAATACGCCGCTAGCTCAAGGAATTTTCGAAGACCTTTGACATCGACCGGCACAGGCCAGTCGGTGATCGCCTTGATCTTTTCGGGATCAGGACGTACACCGTTCTTACCAACGATGCACCCAAGAAGTGGTATTTCGCTTGGCTGCAAATATACACTTCTTGAGGTTAGCATACAATTGATGCTTTCGCATGATTGTAAGAACTTGTCGGATGTGGTACCTGTGAACCTCAACGTCCGACTTTCCATCCATAGCTCGACTATGGATGAATACGTCATCGAAATAACTCGGCGCGAATTCTCGTACTGGTCTCAACAGATGT